TATAATCTGCAGACTGCGGACTGCAGACTGCAGACCGGACTGGGTACAAAATGCAGACTGGGGGTATAAAATGCAGACTGAGGATAAAATGCAGACTGAGGATAAAATGCAGACTGGGGGTGAATTAGGGATATTTTACAAATTCCCGCCAAGCCATAGTCACGTGATCGTTCTTGTTGATAATATTAATGTTGAAGCTAGTCACTTTCATCAAAATGGGCCACAGCGATGTAGAGGTATATTATATGAATATTTATATTATTCTCATTCAACCGTAAAACTTGATAACTTTAACACATTTCTTTGCGTTTAATATTTGAACGTTTGGTTACTTTGCATTAGATCGGAACAATGAAATCTGGACGTTTTGAGTGTGAAATTTTAATTGTATATAGTCACTATATATCGTGTCGACTGTCGACAAGCACTCTACTCATTTATGTTTCAAAACTCGGCAAACGCAAGCTTGCTATTGGTCTATATATGTATATGAACTTGAATTACAGGAGCGAAACGCTTGAAAATATGAAAAATTGCTAATACAAAACCATGTGCTTGACAGTCGACACGTACGATATATATACCATTACAATTTCACACTCAAAACGTCCAGATTTCATTGTTCCGATCTAATGCAATGTAACCAAACGTTCAAATATTAAACGTAAAGGAATGTGTTAAAGTTATCAACTTTTACGGTTGAATGAGAATAATATAAATATTCATATAATATCAATACCTCTACAACAGTGACGTAACGTTAAAGCAAGGGGCCCCCGGTTCAAAATTTTCGAAGGCCCCCTGGTAGAAGTGCGAAAGGCACAAGTCAAGCGCCGTATATGCACAAGTTTTCTAGGGGTCCAGGGCTCACCCGGAAAGTTTTTGAATCTAGACTCTCTGAAATGCCATTTCCTGGACTTTGGGGAGAGATTTTACAGAATTCTGATGGTCAGAAACCGACATTGTAACATACGAGAGGCCCTGGCCAATGTTTTTGCTTTATCGCCTAAGCCAGGGGGCCCCCATTGGGGTTGGGGCCCCCGGGTTTTCCCGGTCTGAGCCCATAGTAGTTACGCCACTGCTCTACAATAATCTACATCGCTGTACATGTCTTCGTCCATTTCGACTATGGCTTGGCGGGAATTTGTAAAATATCCCTAATTCACCCCCAGTCTGCATTTTATCCTCAGTCTGCATTTTATACCCCCAGTCTGCATTTCGTACCCAGTCCGGTCTGCAGTCTGCAGTCCGCAGTCTGCAGATTATACTGACCGGCAGCCAAATACCAGAAGCTCGTCTAGGAGACATGATATTGAACCAAGCCTTACACGTGAAGATTCACTAGTCGTACTTAATATTTTTTCATTAAGAAAAGCGTGAGTCTCACTTACTGTTCGATTGCAAAGTGAAACTCTGATGTGTTTAAGGCTTATAGCACTGTTAAATTCGTTTTGAATAGTTCGTCCTCGGACAGTCATCTTTTCTACCAGTTCTAACAGATATATCAACCATAAAATTTGCTTTTCATGGTGTTTCGCAGCGAAAAACAGGTAGCGATCAAATAATACGTGTACTGCAGGCTTTGTTGGCTCTGCAAGTACTTCATCTACTGAAGGTATTTCAAAGAGAACAAGATGGCTGCCATTGATGACAATGTTGTTGGCACCACCTCAGATTCTAATTTTACCCGCTTTTTAAAAAGCATATCGCTTGAAAAACATCAGCTTGAACTAGAACAAATGGGCATACAATCTATAGATCACCTAGCAGACGTAACGGACGGCGATGATGCTGAGTTTGCATTCATGACAAAATTCGAATTTAGACGACTTATCCGCGAATATAAGCAATTTTGCATTGAAACTGGCGCTGCAAAGACAAATTCACCTTCAGGTAGTGCTTGTGGTTCATATAAAACGTCAAGTCAATCTGTCATTGTAAAACTGCCAAAGTCGTTCAGAAACTTCTTTGGCACACGCGACGGAATGGGAAATGTCGTCGTGGGAACGCCAGGTTTAAAAAGCAAGTACAAAAACTTATGGCATGATAGACCCCGCAATCCAAGCCAGGTTCTGTCGAATTCGTTTGTGTTGAAGATGGCTGAAGAAAGATTTAAATTTGCAAAGAGTTTGAGAGACTGTGAACTTTGGTGCAGGCAGGAAAGGGCAACCAGAATTAAGTTGCTTTTAGCAACCAGCAAGTCACCTGCAATTGACAAATGGACAGAGTACTATAAGAAACAGTCTATATATGGTCAAATCCAAGAGATACAGAAGAGATTTCCTGCGACTGAGGCCATCGCTGCAAGTCAGACTGACAGTGTTACACTCAACATATATGAGAAACTATGCAAATACCAAATTGAGCTTGTGAGAATTGAGAAATTTGCCATAAATGCCCTTCATGCTTGCGAAGGTCAAATTAGGAAACCACCTATTTCAGAAGGTATTAATTTTATGGATACATGCCTTAAAATATAATTGATATGCATTTAAACTAGGGAAATCATAAATGTCTATAGAAACTTGCTCTATATAAACTTAAGGCTATTTTGAAGCTTAACTGCATGTATGTTGACTTCTTTTTAATCATAGAGTGGCAAGAGCCAAATGAATTTTATTTACACCATCTACCACTGCTGCAAGAGGCTGTTGAGCATGTTAGTACAAAAGTTACTGCCTTGAAAGCAAAAGTTGAGATGGCAGCTGAAAAACACAAGAAAACAGCATCACATAACAAAATTCAACAAAGAAGACAGGCAAAAAGAGCAAAGCTTCATGCTATTATAAATGTGACTGAAGGGCCTGGTGATGATTGTCAGGGGCGGACCATTGTTCTAATGGTCCGCCCCTAATTAATAAAGTTAGATAAAGGTAACGTTCAGTGGTCCATAGCACATATATAGTTCAGTGCTTGGTAACCAAGCCTTAAAGTGATCCCAAAAATTTTTTCTGCTAACGCCTTACCGCCTTACGTGGGGTGGGACAGCATCAAGCGACAAACTATCGTCAGATTTGATATAATGTCTCACCCCGGGTAAGGCGTTATTGTCAGTATGTATTGATTACGTCACGTCCACGATCGTGCCCGAGCAGCCCTAAGTATTTTGAACAGTATCCGAAATTGAGGAGATTTTGGTTTCGTTTGTCGCTAAATTTGCCCAAGCTACGATCAAACCATATTATTTAGAAAGAGAAATCTTTGTGAAAAGATGTAATCGAATTAGTTTTGGCGTACGAGAAGTTTGAGCGGAGATATTTGACTTTGAAGGCGATGCGGTCGTGGCGCCAGTGATTAGCCTTTTACTGTTATATTATATATAGATGAGCACACACAATGTAGGCCACAGAAAATGTTACATCAACCGCTCTAAATGAGCTCATGGATTGATTAAAAGAATGCAAAGGTATTATACTATCATGTCAACTATATTTTATTGTTAAAATGTATTTATTTGACCAATTTGAGAATGTTTTTAGAATAGTTTTGGTTGACTATTTAAAATTTGTTTATAAAAACCGTTAAAAACCCGCAACACCTGATCATTCATTCTGAGATTGGGCCGCCTGTGGTCGGAGAACGTTATACATGCAAACCGTGTAGTTTAATTAAGTATGCAAACATCTTGTAACTCTCCTGTTCATTTTTTTTCCAATGAAAACGATATTTGCCTTTCGCTTCCCTTTATTATTTAAAGTCAGTTATTATAGCCAACAACAGCATAGTCACCACTGATAGTCACCAGCACCGAAACCCCGACAATAGTTAATTATTGTATGAAGTTTTGTGATATCCGGAATTATCAAGGTCGAGCTAGTAGTAGGTCGAGAAAGTAGTGTTATCAGTCGAACCGATCGAAGGCGAGTTTGATGTTTTTATTATACATTGAATTTTCATGAAACTCCTTCGAGACACAATTCTGTTGGGAAAAAAAACCCGCTTTCTTCTCAATAAAAACGGTGAAACCAATTTAAAACTTAACAATGACAACCTAAAAAATAGGTACGCAAAGCGTACATGTATCTGCGAAAAAACTTGATTCACATTTTGTATTTCCTTGAAAAGAACTGAATAATGAAGATGACATGGGACAATTGAAATATTTCATCACTTATTATTATAATAAATATAATAGCAAATAAGACTTTACCGGAGGGCAGCAAGGACAACTGCCCTCCCAACCCCCCCGCCGAATAAATGTAACTAATTTTATATAAATGTGATTATGATTGTAACATAATTATGCAGTCAAGAAATAAAAATGTCATGCAAACAATATTTGAAGTGTCTATACAGCCAACAGCCGGCTATTTAGTAAACTGTCACTTGTCAAACCATGAAGTTTCAAAACTTTATTGTAATCATATGATCAGCAAAAGTTATGTCACTTGTTGTTTACACTTGCCAATGTTAGGGGTGCACTGGAACTCGGTTCCGGTCGGAACCCTGATTTGTGACAACCTCGTACCCAGGCGCCTTCAATTCGCGACTAGCCCTGGGTACGAGGTTGGATTTGTGAGAGTTCCGGTTCCGGCCGGAACTAATAAAAAACCATGGCCGGAACCGGAACTTCGTCCTTTTCAGAGAGATAGAATATCAAGTTTATTTTGAATAGCATAGGACGAAATTTGGACTACACAAGATAAATGTACACTATTAATACTTTATTATGACGTTTAAGTGAATCTTTTTATTCTAACATTTGCATGCTCTCGGAGGCTCTCTCCTTGTATCCTGATTAAACTGCGCTTTAAAACGTTCGATATAAAAATATGACTATCAATATGAAGAGAGAGGTGAGACGAATCTACTGGTATGCGGCCGAAAAAGAGAAAACCAACGATACCAAAGTTATCAAGGATCAAACGTACTGCATTTTTTATAATTAGTTGAATAATTTTAAGCGTTTTGTCAACAATAGTCAATACGATTTCGCTTGGCTTTCAAAGACAAAGGACACAATTTACATAAATCGCTAGAATACTGTTGTTTAGTAAAAATTTGACATCCATAAGTACAATTTCTTACGCTGAATCGAACAGTGGTATTTTTATCCGTATTGCGCCATTAGGCATTACAAATACAAAGACAAACGTATTGCGTGTGATTTGTCTGTCTGTCAGTCAGCAAATATCCTTTTACGTACTGTGAGCGATTTGTCAACAATACAATTTCGCTTGATTTTCAAAGGCCATAAATCGCTAGAACACTGTTGTTTAGTAATAATTCATTTGACATCCGTAAATGCAATTTCTTACGCTGAATCGAACGGTGGCATTTTTATCCTTATTGCGCCATTATACATTAGGTGTCATCACTGTCATTAGACATTACAATATCATATTTCACACTACAGTTTTCACGGCTAACTATTAGGGACTGTTGCTGCATAAATTTTATATTAATAATATTGATATGACACCAATATGCTTCTCATAAAGTAGTTATCTATTAAAACTACGTTGTGTAGTTTAGGTTATAACCTTTTACCTTGCAATTGTCTTTGGCTCGTTTATAATCAGATTCAGTATATTTAATATGATCGTGCACGGGAATTCAAATATCAAATTTCCGATTTTCAGAGTCGTGTACCAAGAAAAATGCATTAACTAAACTAGCAAAAATGCCCAGAGTTAGACACAATGCAAAATCCATAGAAAACCGGTACAATTCGTTGAAACTTTTAGCGAAATTGTGTGAAACATTTGGCCCACTCACGAAAGGCCGCCATTTTGAAAAGGAAAAATTGGGTTTATTAGGCAGCTCATTAATGCGGCCACGATGTAAACAATCGATGTAAACTAATCGCTGATTGGCTTAAATTGGCTCAATTATATAAGCTCGTCGCTGAATGGCTAGGGATACGGTAACATTACGTTTGCGATAGCAATATATTCTGCTTCGCAGATACAAAAATATTAGAATCTCATTTATCTAGGACTACAATTTTAAAAACTCATTAATGAGGAAAACACGAAGAAAAATCTTAAGCGTGTCGCATCTTTATATCATTATATGTGATAGAGATTTCCCTTGATTTCCATAAATTTGAACTTTGATTTTCTCGACTTACACAACGTATTTTTTGAAAATTACTTCACAAATGACAATGAACTTTATACTAGATCGATCGTTTTTGAAGCAATTTAAAACATTTATCAGACCTAAAGATACTCGGCTTTCGCTTTATATCTGATAAAACACTGCTGCTCATGTTTTAAATAGTACTTTAAAAACGTTCATTCGTTCATGTCGTTTTTCCTTGTTTTTATTCTTATATGGAAAGCTGCCGCTTGCTATAAAAATACATACCGTTGGCTCAACCTACAGACAACAATGTGATCTATAAACAGATAATTGAGTTATCTGTAGATTACGTGATTTCCATATTATATAGCTGTAAGCTATTAATTGACCAATCAGAAGAGAAGTAGTGACTAGAATGTATACAATAACTACAATTATTTACGAACTTCAAGATACAAGGCCTTCGCTGGTTACGTCTACTTGTCTGTAAGTTAGTAGTCACTATAATTTTCAGTAATGCAATTTCCGAAGACAACAATTATGACGGAAAAAGCTCGTCATACGAGGGAGGTGGAGCGGATGGACTATGTGTTGAATTTGTATCACTTTGATTTTCACATGGATCATGATGGTCTGAAGGTTCTTCGGTTTGAGTTGCAGAGATTCGAGTTGGTTCGCCAGTTTCATGAAAATGCTGAGGGTTCTCCACCAAGCTAAAGCTTTCATGAGATGGTGCCTGGTGCAGTTGAAGATAATGCCTTAGCTTAATGATGACAAGAACACTGCACATCATTGTCAAACTTCCTGCGAGTATTACAATTAACCATAAAGGTAAACCTTCATTTTTTGAACAGCCTGACGTCGTACAGATTCCTTCTGAGCCACAGCATTCGTCTGTAATTTTGCAATCGTTATCTGAGTCACAGTAATGTGAATAACAATCTTCACATTCAATTTTCCTGAAAGAACATGTACCAAGATAACAGACAGTACTACGATGAGGTTGACCATAGTCGCTGTCATTCAAACACTGGGCAAACAAGCATGATGAACTACATTTACGTTCTTGATACGAGATTTGTCCGCAACAATATGCTCCGCTAAAGCAATCAGAATTAGAAGTACAAGAAAAACCACATTTAACACATCGACGTTCCACACAGCATTCGTCTGGCCTGCCGCAGAGGCGATCAAATGAGTCACATGGCTGTCCGACACAACTTGTGTTGCACACACCTTCCCCACCAACGTCCCTTCGGCAACAATAATTTCCTATACCACAGTGAGAGTTCCTAGAACACCCTGGGTCAAGACAATTAACACATTTGTGGGAGCGGCAACACTCACCTTCGCCACAATTGCTATTTTCATTACAAAACGCTCCGATACAACTGGATCTACATTGACTGAACAAACTATACTTGCTGGTCTGGCAGCAATACTTGCCCCTCATGCAGTCAGAATGTGACGTGCAAAAACAGCCAAATGGAGTGCAATTGATTGAACGGCAGCACTTTCCATGACAACAATGCTGACCGTTATTACACTCAGAATTAAATTTACATCCAGGGTCAGAACATTTAATGCATTTCCCTGAGTGACAACATTGGCCAACTCGACCACAATGGCTGTCGTTTGAACACATCGACCCAATACAGCTGGAACTACATCTTGCTTGTTCATGAGGCTTTCCGCAGCAGTATTTCCCAGGACCGCAATGAGCATTGAAATAACACGGAGTTTCTGGATCAAGACAGTTAGCACATCTACTTGAAATGCAACATTCTCGTGGACTGCAGTCTTCGCGAGATTTACACACCTGCTCAAAACAACGTGATTTACAATGACTTTCTCCTTTCAAATCGCTATTACAGCAAAACTGCAAAGAACCACAGTCGGAATTTTTACTACATCCGGCACATACAGCACATTTTTTCTTCCGACAACACTCATTAATTCCAGAACAGTCAATATCAGATGTACAATAACGGCCAAAACACGAAGACTCGTTAAGACAGCTGCCACTGCTACTCACATTGATCCCTCGACAACAAATGAATCCGTCCGTACAATTCATGTTAGAGTCACAACTGTTCCAGGCGACTGGTGATATTATCTCCATATAAAATACTCCATTAATAAGAACTAATAGAAAAGCCTGCACATATTTATCCATTTTGATTATGAATATTTCGCTGAGCATGAGGCATGAGCGTCGTTTGCAATATTGTTTACGTTTTGAGGAAAACAGGTGTATGCATTACAGGACATGCGCGGAATAAGAATAGAACATTCAGATGATTGCACGTTATAAACGAATAACAATTCTAATACCTATAGTTGCCTTTGTTCTACAATATTCCATAGGCTTTCTTAGACTGGAACAATATGATCTAGGAATGAGTTAGTGATGGGCGATACTATCGAAAAAATATCGAAATCATCGATACTTACAAAAGTATCGATACTTTCGATACTCGCAAAAAGTATCGGTAATTCGATACCACTTGAGCCTGCGATGTTTTTTGTCAGTATTCCTGACCAATCGCTTAATACTTCATGAAGGCAACAGACTGAAGGCAAAAAATGTTGACATGATGCTGTTCTTAAACAAAAACATGTAGCTAATTAGTAATATATTTAAGGAAAACATTGAACATGGTGATATTGTTTAGATTTAAAATCATAATTGCAAATGTTATGTTCGATTATTTGGCAGGTACTCCAGTTAGAGTATTCTTTGACTTGTTAACATTAATGTTCTTGTTTTAAAAGTTCTTTTAATAAATGGAAAAAAATTGAGTATCGGTATCGATTTTGGTATCGGTATCGACCAAAATTCATGGTATCGGACTAGTATCGTATCGAAACCAAAAAAGCTGGTATCGCCCATCACTAGAATGAGTGTTATCCATACTGGTGAATTACGAGGCTGCATGTAATCAAATCACTTATTAATATTCTAAAGGCCCGTTAACACAGTGGTTAATGTTCTAAGCATGTCCTATTAGCTGATGTCACCTGAACATTCATAACTCATCCACTCGTTCAAATCTATCAGACCAGAAGAAAACGCAGCAAAAAAAAGCAAAAGTGTATGACGGACCTTAAGATGTTCACTCATTTCATTTGGTAACGGTCTAGTCGGTATTAACTTCCTATATATTGATTGTTTCTATATCTGCGTAATTTTTATGCAAACGGTTTTCAACGACGATTCAGAACGCAACGGGCTGTCAACAGCATTAAAATAATCTCGAGCAGGAACGTAACATTAAATGAAATGTTAGTTGAAATATTATTTGAAAGCATTTCAAGTCGGTGTTAAATTTTTGGCTTTGTTAAAGTGTTGGTATATTTGGTTTGAATTTCACATTGTATGAAGCTATCGGACGCGAAATTGCGAATGCATTATTTTGCTCTGTTTTATTTTGCACTGAAATAACCGATGTTAATTTACATTGTAAAAATTGCGGCAATAGAGGAAATTAATCACAGAATTACTGCAATATCTCTTTTCAGTTAATCCAATTCTTGTGGTCATTTATGGCCCCAAACAGCAGCTGCAAAATTGTCTTTCGAAGGTTTCGTTCATGTTGTTTTTGTTTTTAAATCAACCAAGTGGAAACACATGTATCTTGTGCGGCAGAATACACGCGCAATCTTCGTGCATTCACTGTAAATTTTAAGGAGTTGAATCAACTCTAAAAGTGTCATTTTGTCACCGTTTTTCGTGACAGAATAACTCTTATGGACTTGATTCAACTCCTTGTAATTTACAGTGTTCTCAGACAATTTTCCCACCTGTTCAAAGACATTTTTCGGGGCAATGCATTTTGGCGTATAGCCAACCCCTGTCGGCAGTTTGAATGGAGTCCCCTTTTTAAGCTGGGGGCCCATTATTATAGCACAAAATTAGGCCACTGTTCTATACCACAAATCTTTGGATTCAGGAAGGCTTTGCTCTTCACTAAAATTGCATCAAATGTGTTTTTTAAATAGTGAAAGAATAAAAAAATGAGATACACGCTATACATGTATAAGAACTGTATTCAAATTATTGGAAAACAAGATTTACGTACATTAGGCAAAATAAGAGATTGGACATGAGGCCCAAACCACTCATTACGACCTCTCGTTAATTGCGTGTTTCTATAATAATTAGTGAACTCAGACTAACTATGAAAAGTCATGTATAAACAAGGACCACATATATAATCTATTAAACTGCAGTTTCGTATTGTGCTATTGGCCTCTTTTCAAATTCTGGTATTATTTCTTGTTGTCCGATATTGGGGCTCTTTAACTTAAGAATTTTGGGGAAACACGTGTTGGGTTTTATAAGTCTTGGCTCACTCTCGTCAGAACATTTTGACCTTACGTAAATTCCAAGGGCCATTATAACACCAGCGAGTAGACTGCAAACACAAATGATATAGAGAACGTTGCGAAAGTCTCCTGTGTCGTCAAATACCTTTCCTATAATAAATAGATGAAAAGAAGATGAAATTTGAGTAAAACCAAATGTAGCCTACCACAAGCGTGCAGACGTATAATACTATTTTTGAATAATTACCAAGGCTTATATGATTCCGAACAAACTAATCGACTAATAAACTAGCAGACTAACAAACTCACGCAGCGAATATAAAGCGATGTCAAACTTCGTTTGGGCACCGCAATCTAAGAGAGCATGTACACTAATCAGAAAAATGTATATTTTTTACTAAATAATCTAAATCCTTGTAACCTAAATGCGAGTGAAGGTCAGTGATTTTTCGAAAACGAGAGAAATGACGAAGCAGTATAACAAACACATAAAATAAATAATAATAAGATCAAATAAGAAGAAGAAGAAGAAGAAGAAGAAGAAGAAGAAGAAGAAGAAGAAAAAGAAGAAGAAGAAGAAGAAGAAGAAGAAGAAGAAGAAGGAGAAGAAGAAGAAGAAGAAGAAGAAGAAGAAGAAGAAGAAGAAGAAGAAGAAGAAGAAAAAGAAGAAGAAGAAGAAGAAGAAGAAGAAGAAGAAGAAGAAGAAGAAGAAGAAGAAGAAGAAGGAGAAGAAGAAGAAGAAGAAGGAGAAGAAGGAGAAGAAGAAGAAGAAGAAGAAGAAGAAGAAGAAGAAGAAGAAGAAGAAGAAGAAGAAGGAGAAGAAGAAGAAGGAGAAGAAGAAGAAGAAAAAGAAGAAGAAGAAGAAGGAGAAGGAGAAGGAATAATAAGGTTATTATTATAATAATTCTTAATCCTGAGATCCTTTATATATTTTTCTTAATAATCTAAGTAGCTTTTAGACGTTTTAAAGAAGAATTAATAATAGTATATATTGTATATGAGGGTCACAGGTTTTTCAGTTATATTGCTGTCATGTGTTAAATAAAGTTGTTCATTCATGCTTTCATTCATTCAATGCAACGTCGACAAGGACATGAACAAAACTTATCAATCCTATTATGGGTTTCTGTGTAGAGTTTTGAATCTATAATTAGGAAATGTTATAAACCGAAATGTTTAAACCGAAAGGTTATTTTTGTACAGAATTGCGCAAATTTGCATAAAAACCCTCAACCTCCGTTTCGATGTTGCTTCATTTGTCGATATCACAGGAAATCTCCCCCCCCCCCGGCAATTCGCCCGGGCCAAATTTCCTAGGAAATATGGCCCCTCTTTGGAACACGGGAGGGGGTTATGTTACCGTTTCGGCCCAATCGGTTCTCGAATTACGTCACTGCATGATTTAGTTGTCATTGTATTAAGCGTTCTCTAAATTATTAAGACACGTTTTATGACACGTTCTCCTTATTCTAAGCAGTTTTTTAGATGCACATGATGAAATATGCGTTTTTGATTGATGCGTTTTTGATTTTGTTACATTTCGGCTGAAGAAATGAAGGCTCTGGAACTAGTTAGACTGACATAGGGGAGTCAAATGAGAAAGACAATTAATGAGTGGCATGATCCTTACCCATAGAACTAGGTCCAGTAAGATATCCTGTAGCAGTTAGAAGGGTCACCAAAGAAAACGCATAATCTGCATTTATTCCACCAGTCAGTTCGTACATCATTAAAGGTAGAATTACCCAAAACATTCCTTCCAAAAAACCAACGACGGCCATGTACAAAATAATTAAAGGTAAATGCTGTGTAAGGGAACATAAACCACTTGCCAAGCCAAAGATGGTGACGACTATACTGGCAATGTGTGTAATTAATTTACGCCTAGATATGAAATCTCCGATTAAGCCCACAGTGAGTCGTCCAAAGAGAGACGCCAAAGCGCGGACAACAGCAAGCCATTTACATTGAGATAGAGGATAACCTAACGATTTCGCATATTGCACCTAAAATTGGAAACAAAATCTTGTTGTCTTTTTTGCGTCTCAGAGCGCCGCTTTATCCAGTATTAGTTTCAGGCTTTAGGTAAATAATCTAATAAATTTAAATAAATTAAATCCCAATCTCCCAAAATTTGGGAAGATCTACAATGCAACAAGCATATCACCTGCAGTTTCATATGGATAAATGTGGTGGCGGTAGTTGTAAGTTGAATTTGCGGACATCGTGCAGATGAGAGAACTGATGCAACTTGAGAGAACTGACTATAGTCCATCCTAAACCGTAAATTATATCACGCATGCGCGTAATCTTGGAGATAATCTAATACAGAAAACAGTGATCTCTATATAAATGGGATTGAAAATATAAATGGAATTGCAAGTGTTATGCGTGAAAATTGGGGTGTCAAAATTTTCCCAAGTGAGAATTAATTAAACTTAGGGCCTGGTCTCTGATTGTGTGTACATTGATAATGTTTCTGGGTGTTGAAATAACCAAATAGCATCGTAGTCAAGGTGCTGCTAAACGTTAGAACGGAGACCACGCAAATACCTATTATGCGCAGATTTGGAGATGCACTGATTCTATATTTTTACATAAATATTTCCGGTTAAAATTGATGAAATTATATATAGTCATACCATAAACATCAATGGCACACCAACTGAAAAAAAAAATGGAACGCATCCTATCACAATCAACTGAAAGCCACGATCTTGAAGGAACCCTGGCCGTTTCGTTGTCGGTTGACTTACATCGCTTACTGCCATAACGTCAGACTCCTTAGCAAATATAACCTCGCGATCTGTTGGAATTGTGGGTTTAGTTCCATAGGAAAAAGCATGGAATAATAATGCCGCCCCTACCGATGAAAAACAATAAAACGTATTCTTCCAACCCAAACTCTCGATTAAAATAGGGAAAAGATAGTTGCATATCATTGATCCAGTAGCCACGCTCGCCAACCGGATTCCCGTGGCTAAACCAATATATTTATCAAAGAATTCAGGGAGGATTGTCAACGAAAGACAGTCCATAAACCCAACACCAAGTCCTTGTGGAATACAATATGTCAAAAATAAATAGTTCGCAGAAGGCACTAATGGTGTAGTTAGGTAACTAAAGGTAACAAAAATTGCTGACGTGATAGCCATTGCTCGAAATCCAAAACGATGCTGAAGTGAAACAGCAACTGGATATGAATAACATGCAAGAGAAGCCATCAAAGAGCCAACCCAACCTAAATGAAAAAATATCCATGATTCAGTTCACTATAGAGTAGAATAATTCAAAAGTAAAATCGTCTAGCGTGAACCGAGTAAAATTAGTGGACATTTGAGTAGCCAATGACGCTGTATCAGCTAAAACAAGAACTTTCTCCGTGTATGGGTAAATATAAGGGATTTGCAGATGGAAATTTGGAGTGGTTTTTTTTTGTACATTTGTTAAACCTTACCAGGAGCAGACCTTACCCTGCGATTCCGGTGCAGCGCTCTGATCTACAGAGAGACAGTACAGTTGTCGAGTTCTACCACAAGTTCATTGGTGATGCCATGATTTGTAGATGAAATTTCGAGTGGCCGGAATTTTTACACATTTATTAGACCTAACCATGCAGGATTCGGCCATCTGGCAGGAATCGAAGTTGGTTACAGCGCTGCACCGGAATCGCAGGGCAACAGGTTCGATTCCTACCATGCAGAGGGCCGGTTTTTAGCGACTGCTCCTGATTAGGTCTATAAAAAATGTACAAAAGTCAGGTGTACGGAGAGGGGTGTGCACCCCCTAGCCCTGCCCAGAGGGGATGCAGGGGGGGGGGTGCTATTTTTCATGATAAAGCAAAAAATAATTAGAGACAAAATGAGATAGAGTAATTGGAGTAATAACACGATGATAAGCGAACTGTGAACAACAATTACAATTCACTAATACTGTAGTCAAGCAAGACTTTGTAGTAGTGAAGCAAGTTGATGGGTGGGCGGCACACATGACCGACACAACTCGGCACCAGAGCTGGCAGAGCACCCCTCCTACCAGATCATGCTGCGGGATCCATCCCTGCAAAAATTCCACTCGAAATTTGCATCTACAAACCCCTTCAACAATTTCTCTATGTATGTCTAAGTCATTTGACGTTTACGATAACATTAACATGCTTGAGAGTCATGCACGAAGTACAAGATAAATTAGTTTATTAGATTTAATATATTCTAAGAGGAAAACCCTAGAATTGATCCGCTCTGTTGATCTTACCGTTATTTGTGCTGACGTGCGCGCGCTCAACTGATTTGACTGCCTCTGTGAAAAAATGTAAAGATGAAGTAGTGATGTTAATGTTACCTATTTTAGTGTTTGTCTCATGGAAATGATCTACGAAAACTACGACGAGAATTCCAAAACTGTCGAATGGCCCGGCAGTATAACCCATAACACATCCAGTGATAGCTAGGAATATCCATGATGCCCGACTGTCCTTGATGCGACCTGAACCAACTGTCATCGAGCAACTATTTTTATAAGATATTGAGATAAACATTAAAGAAAAATACATAAGAGAAGCATTTTACACTTTATTATAAATTAATAATAATACAGCGTAGAACAGTTTTTGACCTTTACCGATGACATTAGTTAACATGGTTGAGAGTCTTGCACGTTTTGAGTGCGTTTGAGTATTCACTTTGTCGTCCTACCCGAGGTCACAAATGAACATACAAAAGATCTGGTATAATTGTACTTCTTGTGTTTATTAGTGCAAAGAGTAACTATTTACACAAAAGAGTCCAGATACGATTTTTAAAATTAATTTTCTTAGTAATCCAGGTTCAACCCCACAGTAACTATCAACCCCAGTAACTATTTACACAATAGAGTCCAGATACGATTTTTAAAATTAATTTTCTTAGTAATCCAGGTTCAACCCCACAATGGACCTAATTTCTTCCACTTCAGATTTTCAATCATGCATTATTGCTTTTTTTAACGAAACATACATTTTTAAACTATACATCATGGAGTGAAAGAATCTCGTTGCATGAAGTTAGGTGATCAGTATATTTATTTAATTAAAGATTCTACCGCATCAGCAAAAGCTGGTTTCATGAATGAAGGGCGTCTGAACTGTACATGAAGAACTTTACAAGACAAATATTTGACTTTATTAAGACAAATACAAGATTGCGGTGTGACGCATATAACCGTAGACAATATGAACGATTTATCGACCTATTATCTGGTCCAGTAAAAATGTCGTAAAAAACTTTAAATCTTTTTACGACATTTTTACTGGACCAGTCAATCGCGTCACACCGCATCTTGTATTTGTCTTAATAAAGTCAAATATTTGTCTTGTAAAGTTGTTCATGTACAGTTCAGATCGACGCCCCTCATTCATGAAACCAGCTTTTGCTGATGAAGTAGAATCCTTAATTAAATATCTTTAGTTTTTGATGATCATCAAAGTTACTGATCTAAGTATCTAACTTCATGCAAAAAAAAGCTCGTCAAAAAAAAAGAAAAAAAGCTCCTAACGTTAACCGGAAGGCCGTTAAAGGCACAGTTCAGCCTTTTGAATGATGGTTTTTAAGGCGCATTTCAGCCCTTCTAATTGAAAAAACTAACTAGGAAAATCAATTAAGCATAATTCAAGATCATTAATGTTTTTAACATTTTAAAACATTTTTATTGTTAAAACCATTGAGTTTACTGATCTTGAATTATGTATAATTGATTTCCTAGTTTGTTTTTTCAATTAAAAGGGCTGAAATGCGCCTTAAAAGCCATCATTCAAAAGGCTGAACTGTGCCTTTAACTTCCCGACGAAGGGCCTTCGCTCTAAACGTCGACATTCTTAGAGCTTTCGACTCGGTTCTTCGAGCCTTCTTCAGAATTATATACACGAATTTAAATTTTGGCGCTGTTCTCTGCGTTGGTGTAGTTAATTGGAGTCCGAGACATAGCGACCGCGGGGGGGTGGAGATCTCAGGTAAATTTCTAGGTGATTCTTTCTGATTTTCAGAAAATTTTCAAGATATTCAGTCAAAAAATTTCGTGCGAGCTTCTCCCGAAGCTCCAGTAGTAGACTTAAGGCTAGTTTCCACTCAGAAAAATTATCCGTGGATTGGAACGGACAAGAAAATTTTTCTTTGTCTTGTGAGCTCTGGGTTGGAACTAATGAGTTTAACACAAAGAAAAATTTTCTTGTCCGTTCCAATCCACGGATAATTTTCCTGAGTGGAATCTAGTCTTTAAGGCTAATTTCCACTCCGGATAATAAGCAGCGGATCGGACCGGATTGGAGGTTTTTCCGATCCGATCCAACAAGCGATTTCCAGTAAAACGACGAGTGGAATGATCGCCGGATCGGAAAAGGAAAAAATGGAGCTCGTTCCAGTCTCACAAATTACTATTTCGCGCTTATTTCAAAACGGCAGCGACTCTGAACAAGCGTGTCCATCTTATTTGGTTACGTCGTCGCCAGCAAAAGAAGCAAACAAGAAAAATACAAAAAGAGCATTTGGATAAGAAAAATTTTCCAGGAAAGACAATGGAAAAGTAAATACCACTTATTGATGGAAGAGTTAAAGCTACCATGAATGCTGATTTTTTTAAGCAATTTCGTATATTGCCAAGCAAATTAATTTGAAGAGCTGTTGTATTCTCCAATTCTTGTAAATTCTCCCTCGCTCCTAAATTATCCTCCATTTTGTAAATTTTGTACAGATATTATTTAATTATTTTAATTTATGTTAGATAATACGGCATTTTGTTTGGTCGCCAGGTTTAATCCGCGGACCGGACCAAAAAAAGTTGAAAATATTTCAATTCTTTATTATTCGGCCAGCAACCTCACCGGATTAATCGGAACCAAAAATTTCTACTGATGGCGCATGCGCGGATTTTGTTTTGTTCTGATCTGGTCCGATCCGCTGCTTATTTTCAGGACAATCCGGAGTGGAAATTAGCCTTTAGCGCAGGGTCTACTACTCTCGGAGCCTGCGGTCAACATTTAGTACTCATTTATAAGATCGAGAATTGAGTACGCTTCTCCAGCATGGTCATCTTTGACGGTTTATCTATTTGGTGTTATTGAATCAATTCAAAAACGGGCATTACGAATAATTTATCCTGACCGGTCTTATAAAGGCGTTTTGATCTGTACAGGATTGGAAACTCTTAGTACCCGTAGAGATAATTCTTGTATAAAATTTATTACTAAACTTTATCCGAGGACGTTGATTATAATCCACTGGCATGTAGTGCTTGGAGCGAACCTAAGCATTCTGAACACAATTATTATCTTAGAACACATGCAATCAACTAACAAATTTATCACGAACACTGACCGCTTTGGAAATTTTGTAATAGTTAAATATGTTTGATTTTTATAATCTTAGTATGTTTACCGTTATTATATTCTATTTCTTCCAATTAGATCAAAACATATAATTTTACGTATATCGTGTAATTCAGTTGTTATTGCAATTTGGTTTATTAAACAGATTATTATTATTATTATTATTGTTGTTGTTGTTGTGATTATGATGCTTGTGATGTTACTCTGAGTGTATATCCACACCGGGCAAGCTTGAAAATATGCCTGACCACGGTGGGAATCGAACCTACGACCTTTGAATACTAGCCCAATGCTCTGCCAACTGAGCTACGCGGTCTGGTCGGTTCGAGTATGTGATATTTCGGAACAGAATCTAGTTCCTTCGATATCGATGTTATCTAATAATAATCATGATTTTTTCTGTGTTGGTGTAATGTACTCAGGTGAATATGATGCTTGTGATGTTACTCTGAGTGTATATCCACACCGGGCAAGCTTGAAAATATGCCTGGCTCTGCCAACTGAGCTACGCGGTTGATATCGAAGGAACTAGATTCGCGTAGCTCAGTTGGCAGAGCATTGGGCCAGTTGGCAGAGCATTGGGCTAGTATTCCAAAGGTCGTAGGTTCGATTCCCGCCGTGGTCAGGCATATTTTCAAGCTTGCCCGGTGTGGATATACACTCAGAGTAACATCACAAGCATCATATTCACCTAGGTACATTACACCAACACAGAAAAAATCATGATTATTATTATTATTATTATTATTATTATTATGATTATTATTATTATTATTATTATAATAAAAGAAACACTAGAAACTGCTTTTAGGTAACGTAAAAAGTAATTTAAAAACTCAGGAAATTTGGACCCTCCCCCGCAACGACATAGTCTTCGCTAGCTACGTCCCTGATTGGGGTATTTGATTGGTTGCTGGAGCCTGGAGGATACGTTGCTACGGTTGTATCATAGCGAATGGTTCCAGACCGCGCAAGCAGAAAATTCTGCCTACTGCGGCTGAGTTTGGAACCCGCGACCTTCAAAATGCTAGCTCCACGCTCTACCAACTGAGCTACACGGTCAGGTCCGATTGAGGACTGGAAATTATGAATTGTATACTGATATCGTAAAATATACTCGTTTATATCAATTCAGCATCGAACACTACTACTTCCGTGAGTTGGTGAGTGTAATGTGATGTTGTGATATTGTTCACTCGGTAATACGATAAGATGAAATGTTCTCGAGTGAATGTTTCCAACCGCGCAAGCAGAAACAGTGTCTGCCCCGCAGCTGGCGAGTTTGACTAATGGTCGAGGGTCGAGGGTAATAGGTCGAGGGTAGAATGTCGAGGGTCGAAAAAAATGTCGAGGGTCAATTTTTTAATTTGACTCTATAATTTGTTCGCAAATTTTTAGTAACAGAATCAAATACTTACCATTGCACATACGTATCACAATTAATTAATTTGCTTTAGCCCAACGTCAATGTTTTATCCCTATTATGGAATTTGCCATTGCGCAGAGTAAGTATCGGCTTCGCTATTAAACGCAAAGTTTAGTTTGAACAAACAGATGTGTTTTATACGCCGATGTATACTAACGAATAATCCCTATTTTGATCATTATGAAGTTAATAACTGATCAAATTTCGATCGCTGCAGTCAAAAGGCGCCGCTTCACATGCTATTTGATAAACATAACATAACCCTTTGCGACCTTTGTGCACTCATGATTTCAGCAATCATTACGATCCACAAAAGCGATATATATTTCTGTATAGCTATGTTTCGAGCATGATCTAGAAACCCACGACTAAACACTAATGTCATATAAAATAATTTGTAAAGCCGTGATTTTCTAACTATCAGTATTTTCTGCGTCGTGGCAAACGTTAACAGACGGCCAATTGTCTTATGTGCATGCGGCTACGGCAGCAAATATTTTTCGCACAGATTATTTTCCGCTCATGTTGTAATTTCTTGCGCCTATGGCTCCTATCGTCTGCGCGAATTTGATTACTGCGCGAATTTGAATACAAGTATTACTCCATGCATGGCTGGGGAATATAAAACCGGAAAATATTTCAACATTAATTTTTATTAATAGTGATATTTTCCTGGATTAGTTATGCCTCATCGGCGCAACAAATTCGCAGCAAAATGAAAAATAACACTGACACGTCGAAGTGTCACCCCGGATGCCAGGATTTGCTTTCAGTTCTGGATCAAAACTTGCGAGAAATTGTCATTCGAACCTTACTTGCGATTAAATTTTGGTTAACGCATACACGTGCAGACGAGCTTTCTCTTAAAAACGTCTTCAGTTGCCGCATTGCTGTAGGGTATAAAACTTGTGTGAAATGGAAGTACTTCAAAGCAGAATAGAAGAAGCTGGACTAAAGATTTCGTATGATCCTCCCGGCGATGATGGGCTATGTTTTTATTCGGCTGCTGGCTCAGTTGGGGTTGTCTTCCAGGACTGTGCAGAATATAGTGTTTGAGTACTTGGAGAGTAACCGTTATGATGTAAGTATAGCAATTTTCTTTCATCCTAAGATTTAGTTTGATGATGTGATAAAAATGTGACTGTATTGCCTCGCTGTTAACTCAGGAAGCCCCAGTCGCATATATATTTCAGATGAGTTGTAAAATTATCTGTGACTGTGCGAAAAATGTTTGCTGCCGTAGGCATGCACATAAGACAATTGGCTGTCTGTCAACGTTTGCCACGATGCAGAAAATATTGATAGTTAGAAAATCACGGCTTTACAAATTATTTTATACGTGATATACGACATTAGTGTTTAGTCGTGGGTTTCTAGATCATGCGGGAAACATAGCTATACAGTACTATATATCGCTTTTGTGGATCGTAATGATTGCTGAAATCATGAGTGCACAAGGGTCACAAAGGGTTATGTTATGTTTATCAAATGGCATGTGAAGCGGCGCCTTTTGACTGCAGCGATCGAAATTTGATCAGTTAACTTCATAATGTTGATATTAAATGATCAAATTAGGGTTTATTCGTTACTTAGTATACATCGGCGTATAAAACATATATCTGTTTGTTCAAACTAAACTTTGCGTTTAATAGCGAAGCATACTTACTCTGCGCCATGGCAAATTCCATAATAGGGCTAAAACATTGACGTTGGGCAAAAGCAAGTTAATTAAGTGTGATACGTATGTGTAATGGTAAGTATTTGATTCTGTTACTAAAAATTTGCGAACAAATCATAGAGTCATGACTCTCGACACATCATGACCCTCGACACAAATCATGACCCTCGACATTTTTTTCGACCCTCGACATTCTACCCTCGACCTATTACCCTCGACCCTCGACCATTAGTCAAACTCCAGCTGGCTTCACTCAAAGAACGAGTTTGACTAGTGGTCGAGGGTAAGAGGTCGAGGGTAATATGTCGAGGGTCGGGAAAAAATATCGAGGGTCGAAAAATATCAAGAAAATACTTTAAAATTTGGTATCTATATTTACTAGTCCGAAAATTATTTTTTTGTGAACCTGATATGTATATATAATATATTTATAGTCTTAGATTATACAGTACATTTGCCATTGGGTGGAAATTTATAAACACTTTCGACTAACATTAACAAACGGAAGGTATCGCGGTTGGAAACATTTGAGTATTGCTCCTTGGTTTGGGGCAACTGCGGCGAATCCCTGAAGGAAAAACTGCAGAAACTTCAAAACAGGGCAACAAGGGTCATTACAGGTGATAATTATGACATACGTTCAAAAGATATTTTAAAAAAGTTGAATTGGAAAAACCTATCCGTAAAAAGAAAAGAAAAAGCAAGTGCGTACGTATATGTTTCAAAAGCTATTACCGGAAATTGCCCGAAAAATATAGCTGAAAAGTTTAAAATTAAATATCAAATTCTGAAAGATATGATTTAAGAAGCAATAATAAATTTTTAGCATTGCCAAAACCGAAAACAAATTATATGGTTCGCACCTTTGCGGCTTTGGATATGCTGCTGCTAAAATTTGGAACGAAAGGAATAAAGTAGATTTGTAAATATTGTAAATAACTGGTATACTTATTGACACACGGCCTAATGAAAAGCAACCATTTTAATTTGTATGTATATATATATATATATATATATATATATATATATATATATATATATATATATATATATATATATATATATATATATATATATATATATTATATATATATATATATATATATATATATATATATATATATATATATATATATATACCGGGTGTCCCAAAAAAAAGTACTCCGGTTTGATTCTTAATAACTTCTAAACAAGTAAAGCTATCAAACAGAAATAACTAGCATTAAATAGAGGAAGGACTAACTTAGATTTTGATATATTGCAGTTGTATTTTACTTAAAAATTCACGGAGATATTAATGTTCAAAATCGGGAGCATATTTTGGGATGTGTCTAAAATTAGCGAAAAACGGCATATCAAATATTAATTCCAGCGTTTGTTTGCTTAATTAATGACATATCAGGCTATTATAAACTTGTATTTCAGCGAATTGTCGTTAGGGTTTATAAGGGATATGGCGTAGATTTATACATCTTACATGTAAGTCTCAGCTCATTGTTTCCTGAAATATGAACGTTCGAAATTATGCGGGTATTTAATAGGTCTTTACAAACTTGATAGATGATGCAAGTTAAATTTTTCTTAAATATAGCCTAATTTTTTAATGTTTTTCATGGGTTCAAAACAAAGTTGATTATTTCTCGGTTAGAGCAGGATAAATATTATTCTTTAATGAATTAGGAAATAATATTGCTTTTTGCAAATACACATCACAGAATCAACGCTACTATTTTGTTACGTTTTGTTCCAAAAATGTTGGATGTCTCTCGGGAGTTGCTCGTTATGTCTTATGGAGTTGTATGGTTTGATTGTGTTTTATTCTCAGTTTATTCTGAACTTGCCAAGATTAAGAAAAAGCAAAAGAGTTTGGGTGTTCTTAACAAAATTTCAAAACGTTGCAAAAGTTAGAAGAGCTTCACAATTCCATTGTGACAGCATGCCCTGATTCAGAACTACGAACGATCCATGACGATTATTCGCGATACCGTGAGTGGCCTCATGAAAAAAGGAAACGTATTCGTGCTAGTAACATGCACACGCGGATTTCGGACGAATATATCTTGCTTGTATTTTGTAGATAATAATACTTTGTTTCATAATAAAAAATTTGTCAAGTGTCATTTATTTACTGGTAATAGTGCATGTTTTATAGTCGGGCAAATCTTTGATTAATATTTGATACGCCGTTTTTTGCATATTTCAGACACTTCCAGAAATATGCTCCCGATTTTAAACATTAATATCTCCGTTAATTTTTACGTGAAATGCAACTGTAATATATCAAAATCTAAGTTAGTCCTTTCTCTATTTGATGCAAGTTATTTCTCTTTAAAAGCTTTACTTGTTTAGAAGTTATAACAAATCAAACAGGAGTACTTTTTTTTGGGACACCCGGTATATATATATATATATATATATATATATATATATATATATATATATATATATATATATATATATATATATATATATATATATATATATATATATATATGACTTTTAAGCAATCTTCCCCAGTCAAACATGTGAAATCTAACTTCCAAATCGTTTGTAAAGGCTAATTTCCACTCCGGAAAATAGCAGCGGCTCGGACCGGATCGGAACAAAACAACTAATCCGCGCATGCGCCATTCGTAAACAATCCGCCGATGTGAGCAAGCGCAGAAGGCCTGGGTCACGAAAAACACAATGGGCATATTGATTATTATGAAATTCCATAGTTGTTATGCCGGTTTTGCATTTTAGTGCTAATTAAGTAAATTTATAGTTCGGCCAACGGCAACGGAGTTCAGCATGTCCCACAATTCTACAAATAACTTTCTTTAATTAATATAAATAGAGGTGAAAAACCAAAACGGACAACCTTTATTGAATTAGCTGTAAACCAAAGGGTTCGAGTCTATAGTCTATACTATAGCGAGCTGCATGCATGCCCAGCGATTAATTAGAACATATATGGTGCTTTAACGAACATAGCATAGGCCATCAAAGACATGCACAATGACAATGATCGCACATTCTTACACCAGAATCTAGCGGTGGGTATGAGGTGGGTAAAATATGGTGGTTTTGGGTGCGCATCGGTTAGACTACATCTAGCACAAGTTGCCCATCAAGAGACAGTACGGTCAAGAGCACAAAAGTAACCAGACACATGTTAAAAAATACAATGAAATTTGGGGGCAGAATACTGTTCTAAAAGTTCTGCCTAAAAGTGCTGCCTAAAACTGAAATATCGAGCGCAACGCTGAACAAATCTGCAGTCCGTGGGTTGAGACCGGTTTGCCATTGGTAATGTAGTTATGCCGATACGATGATTTATTACAACAAGTTGATTCGTTATCGTCATATTCTGCATGATTGACTAGTCTGACTTAAATATTGTAGTTCAGCATCAATATTGAACAACATCCCATGCTGGACAAAATTAGCGTAAACTATAGTCTATAGCTGGCTAAAGCTATGATGCATCAGCTAGTTTTCTCACCCTTATTCTTCTTCCTACGTTGTTGATGTTCAACTTTCAAGCGGTATTAGCACATGATATCCAGAATATACTCGTCCAGAGCTGCACGTATGAATCGGAGAGCAACAAAGCTGTATACAAAACCCATATTAAAGGCGGCTCTCGCGGCTTCATTCCGTACACTTGTGCGTAAGTGGAATCGGAAAAATGCTTCATTTCCCGTGATATTATATATATGCTAGAAATAGATGAATGAAAGATGTTTTCCCGGAGAAGATGTCAACTTCCCATGTTGCTACATAAATCAGTTAGGAACGTATGGGAATAGCGCGGACCTGCCTGCATGGTATGTTATATGATGGAAACATTATACGAATACTGCGCGCGTCAGAACTATCGGACTTGTGATCCTAAATTACATCGCGGATACGGGATACCGTGTTGCACAGAAGGGAACTGCTCGTCGTGTGCTCTCATGTGTGTCTCCTTTCATGTGTCATGTGCCTGTGCCAGCACGCACGCAAGATCCTTTTTATTTGGCATTCATTTTCCTTGCTCTCAAAATTTCATGTATATATTTTTATAAAATATACTATTTGAATACAGCTAATTACATAAATTAGCTAGATTCAGCTAAATGTCCAATGCAAATGACATGATATAATGTCCAATGGCAATGCAATTCAAATATAATACATGACAACTGCAGCTTACTGATTTAATGTATAGGCCTATCGTACATTATTCTATTTCCAGACTTTTAAAAAACATTCGAACTGCATTCTAAGTTATGAATATTAAAGGTATTACCTATAGGGACCTTAATTCTTCAACAAAATTAAAGGCCTAGGCCCAATTTTGTAAATATTTTCTTTTCTACTTTTTCTTGTTATGTAATTGGGCGAAATAATAACAAAAAATGCATGCCGATGTACCTTTTGCGCCTGTAGAGAATAGAGATAAAGGTTAATTTGCGGTTTTCAATTTTGAGCCGCGCAAGCATTATTCAATTGACGTTATCCGGGGCATGGCAAATGTTTGAAATCTGTGAATAGCTGTGACTGATCTCAAAAGACCTTTCTAGATGATTTAGTAGTAAAATTGTTAGAGTTCAGGTTTTTGTCGAGCGTCGAGTATCTTGGCCAATGTTTCCAGTATCGTACAGTAGTAAATATTGTGGCTCTTCGATTTCGGGAAGGCTCCAATTGCATGTAGAAACTCAAAAACAAAGTCAAAGAGTATTTATAGTATATAAACCGGCCAATGGCAATGTTTGGCGGTGAGGCGAGTAATATTGAATCACTTAGTTGTAATTGGTAGCTAGAATGAAACAGTGGTATGTCTGCACTTAGTTTTTATCATAACTTGCTTTTGGAGTATTTGTAATATTTAATATTTCAACTGGAATTGTGCCTTAATACATTGCCATTGCCATTGCCATTGCCATTGCCATTGCCATTGCCATTGCCATTGCCATTGCCATTGCCATTGCCGATGGCAAGGAAATTTCTATCCTCGACAATAAAAAAATAAAAAAATGTAAAAAATACGTCCCTTGACTTTTTATATATGACGCTCGACTGAGTTTTAATATGACCCTCGACTTTTTACCCTCGACCATCGACATTAATTGGACCCTCGACTTCACACCCTCAACACTCGACAAAAACCGGCTCAAATTGTTACAGTCTGTTTATTTATTTACAGTATTGATCAGTGTTGATCATTCCCTGCTGGCAGAGGTCTCTATTTGTGCTGGACAGCGAAGGAGAAGAGACCTCTGCATAGACCAGACACTACCTCGATGACACAGGTCCATGATCGTGGACGAGTCAAACCAGTTTGTAAAACAAGTTCTGAAACCGATTTAGAGAAACAAATAGTACGCATGCTCAGAGCTAAATTACGTATTACGCTGTAATGACATTGAGCTCGTAGTGTCAAAATGGCGGCTTGCACAGCGTGGTCATTTCCAGGGGCGTAGGAAGCTTCTCTAAAAATTGGGGGGAGGGGGAGGCTTTGAGGGGCACTTTTCGGAAAAAAGGGCATCTAAAAATTTGTTCCCGGAAATGTTAGCAACGGGGGGGGGGGGGTCATCTCAAAAAAAATTTTTGGACATACCCAAAAAAATTTTCCGGATATACCATATTTTTTCCGAAATACGAAAAAATTTTTCTGGACATACCCAAAAATTTTCCGGATATATGATATTTTTCTCGAAAATGAATAAAAATTTTCTGAAATAACATAGATTCAAGTTTTCAGAAGTGCCCTTTGGGCAAAAAATGCAATCTTAATGAAAATTTTTCACGCAAAAAAGGGCACTTTGCTCCCGGAAAAAGGGCACTTGGCAAAACTTGGGGGGACTGCCCCCGCCCCCCCCCCCGGCCCCCCGGTTCCTACGCCCCTGGTCATTTCGAGGTTTTTCCGGTTGTTTGAAAGTGCTCTAACTTATGTAATTGATATTTTCAAAGATGAAACTGTGAAAGCAGTGACAGAAGAACAAAATGGAGCAATCTTTTCTGTTTTATCGGGCCGAGATACATTTGTTTGCCTTCAAACTACGGTAAGTCTTTGAATTACCAAGTTGCTCCCGCAAAAACCGGTTTGATATCACGTGGTGAAAATCACTCGTTGTCATGACAATTTTTGCACATGTGCGACAGAAAACGTGTCAGATCTAGGCAGAGGCACACAATAAGAAGTTACAGCAGAAGTGTAACTCAAGCAAGTATTTCCGCGTTTTTACAAGCGATTCGTCATCAATTACGCCATCCTGGCTACTACAACCGGCACTTTGTACCTACCAAAACCTGATAAAAACTTCCGGTTGTACTAGCCAGGATGTGGCGTGAGCGAGTTAAAATTTTCGTGGACGTAAAACAATAAAGGAACCGACTCAAGTTATACTTCTGCTGTCCTTCCTATTCTGTGGCAGAGGTCTCTTCTCCTTCGCTTCCCAGCACAAATAGAGACCTCTGCCAGCAGAGAATGTTGACCAAGACCTTTTAATTAGTTTGGTTCGTTATCTATATAGATTATAGATCTTTTATGTTTGTCATTCATTGCTATGCAATTGCAATTTTTTACAATACAAACTCCATCATACGTTTTAATTCTATACATGAACGCTCCTGGTTGTTGAAGTTGTCATTTGCGAAAGTGTTATATGTATACAGCTATTTCAATTAAGGTTGTCCACGCGCAAAGCGGAAAAGTCGAATACGAGCGCGAAAGGCTGCTGGGAAACGCTAAAAAATAATTGCATTTATTAGCGATTCCCAGCATTTTTTCGCGCTCGTATTCGAATTTTCCGCTTTACTCGCGGGGACAACCTTAATTGAAACAGCTGTATATCTAGCAAAACTAATGTAATATTTATTTGGAATAAACAAACATTTATAACTGGGATAAACAAACTATTATAATAGTTGCTTCACGACCAACGGCAACGCCGCAACGGGGCATTGTGTTCTGGGAAATGAAAAGTGGTCGTATGATTGGGTGGTCGTATTAACGATCGAGGTGGTCGTATGGCGAGGTTCCACATTGCGATTTTCAAATATTCGAAAAGAATAGCTTTAATATTTGTGTAAAAATTAATATATCATAGACATAGTCAAACAATTGAACAGTAAATTGCCAAATTGAATTACAAGCGGCTAAAAGAAAGCTTGCGGTAAACGTGACAAAGCGTTTTTCAAAGATGTTAAAAAAACATTCACGGCACAGATGTTGAAAAACATCTGCGCCGTAATTTTGATCCGACTCCCGTCAATACGACCACCCAATTTGAGTTTATCTATTGGTCCAGTGTCGGTCGAGGGCGAGGGTAAAAAGTCGAGGGTCAGGGTAAAAAGTCGAGGGTAAAATGTCGACGGGAAAAAGTCGAGGGTGAGGGTAAAAAGTCGAGGGTTAAATGTCGAATAGTACATGTCGAGGGTGAAAAAATCACAAAAGAAATAAGGTCAGGTAACCGCTTCGGATAAGGAAATGGCGACGTCTACCTGTCTTCTCGGCAGTATTGTTATGGCATACTTCGAAACCCGGACCGGACTCGGACTCTACCCGGATCCGGACTCGAAAAAAATCCGGACTCGTGTTTCAGAAAATCCAGACTTGACTTTTAAAAACCCAGACTCGAAATAGCAAAAACCGGATTCAAAACAAGGACTCTGTGTACGAGAATGCAAAGGTTTTTTGGAAAGGTTTAATAATAGTTAACATGATAAACGATGATCTCTTTATAAAATAATGATGTATATATCTTTAAATGAATTTCTAGAGTGCTGTTGCACTATCTGGCGTAGTGCTGATAAAGAATCTGAGTTGCTCGGTAATAATTGCGGGTGTCCCTATCTCTTCCCGCTTTCTATATATAGATATAGATAGAATACTTTATTTCAAAAGCAATAAGCTTGGTTTTGAAACATGTAGATCATTTTTTCTTCTAATGACTCAGTGTTATGTGTTATGTGCGGATACTAATCAGTAATCATATTGTGATTCCTCACAAAATAATCACTATATAGTATATATACCTGAAAAAAAATATTTAGACACTTAAACAGCTAAATCTACCCTAGACCTAAATTAATAACTAAAATCTGTCTCAACAGTTAAGAATGTCTTGTCTGGAAACCATCTCGTTACACAAGTGCTGCAACCATAGCAAACAACGTGTGAGACTCAATACTGACAATGAAGTTTGACAATAAATCAAGTTATTTTGAGAATCAACATGCTACCCTCGTACTAGCTACTTGTAGACGTATACAAAATGATAGTTCTTTCTTCGTCGGGTTTCGTTTTTCTTTGATGTAAACGAAGGTTTTTTATTTTTTTGAAACACAAAAATATTTAGTTGTCGATAGACTGTAAATTGTCTAAATAATCGTCGAAAACTATGGTTTCAAAAGCGTTGCCTCAAGCTCAAGCAACACAGAAAAATATGAAAAGTAATTGTGTAAGTTTAAAAAGATTACTGAACTTCATTTATATTATATTATAAATAAGTTGAAATATTTATAGAACATACCTATTGAGTTTGAGTTTGTCTTGATCTTTCGGGTTTTGTTTTGGCTTGCACAACAACGTTGAAAATTTATTTTTAAACGATGATTTCTGTATATATTCTGTTCAGAACTGTTGCTTTTCGTAAAAAAGCCCACTAGAATGGGTTTTTAGACACTTTTTTCACTTTTTTTTCCATTCTAAGTCTCAATATAAAATTTTTTGCAAACTTTGCATTTGAAAAAACAATTTGCACTCTCTAGTCTCTGCTCTGCAACCGCGCGAAATTCCCACTGAAATTCCCTGCCGCCTGGGAGTCTGGGAACCAAAATGCCCTTATAAATCCGCCATTTTGTGGAGACAAATTTTTCACTGAGAAAAGATAGGAATACGCATAATAGTCCGGCAGATAGAGCAAAAATACTTACGGTTGTTTGGGACAATTCCGTTTTGCCACATAATTGTATTTTAGTATGTGATAAGCACGTTTTTGGATGTTGGACACGTTGAAATTACTTGAGTGAGCTATCCAACAACTATTTCTTTTGTCGCTCGAAACTTTTTTTCCGCCATGTTTTTATTGCAAAATTCTCGAAAAAGAGTGAGCCCACAATACTTTGGTCAGCACCAACCCCAGAACTTCGTTTAAGCTAAATCAAAGAATACTTATTATTCTTTAATACTTCAAATCAAAGAATACTTATTATTTCTTTTTGCGTTTTTACTTTCATCATTTTGAAAGGAAATATTATGTAGAAAACTGCAGTTAATTGCAAAACGGGACATTTTCACTACGTATTTACGCATGATCACTTGGACAATGTGAATTTTCCACGCAGATGTAGTTCCCATAACGAATGTGGTTTTGAAAGACCTTTGAACGTTGGGCGTGTGTGGGTTTTTCTTGTAGTCTTTATCCAGTTTTTAGAAATATTTTTTTAGAAAAGTTACAGGCGAACCCGCGATTTACTGTTCAGCGGTAAAAAATTGTGTCACGGTATTTGAGGTAGCGTTGCCTTTTTTAAAATTGGATATGTGTTGCGCACGGTGCTTTGGTTTCCTGGGTTAAAAAAATGTCACGCTCCATAATCGCAAAAACAGTCTATACACCAAAACGTAATTAGCATTAATCTTGATGTAGCAAGCGAGAACTAAGTTAAGGTGCGCATGGCTGTGTCCTAACGAAGAGTCTACATTCAAAACGTCGAGATGTGACTTTCCGACTGACGTGCATGTTCGTATTCACAACGAATTATACGTGTGGGTAGCGTTTATTCGAATTCTTCTAATGGTACTGCTGCTTGGCTAATTTCTATAGTAGGTAGTTTTGTGAGTTACAATTATATATCACTGTAATGCGTGATGGATGGATTTGTCACGAGCTTGAAGATGACATTTATTAAAGCTATTACCAATTGTGCGAATATTTCATTATTCTTTTATGACTATCAATCTTCTTCATCACTTTCAAACAATTCGTATGAGTCCAAATCATCTTCATCGGCCACAATATTTGAACAGGTGTCGCAAGTACAAATATCAGTACATTTCAGGCCATTTGCGAAGCACACGCACATGTTGTTACGGCATTCTGACTTCTTGCATCCACACGACAAAAATTCTAATAGCGTATCGGGAGCTGGCTTCTGACTCATCCATTTTATATTCAATGTTGCGGATGTTCCATCTTTATACCATCCATGTCCGCTGGGGTCTGGCGCATCAATGTTTGGCGATAACGCTGACTTCCAGATGTAAGTTACGTAATTTGCACGTTGACAGTGTAAACGTAGCTCGTCTTCTGTGGGCGGGAGTTGTTGTGGTTCAGGAGCCTTGCCTTTTGCACAAAAACGCTGGTAGCGGGCATCATTTATACGAGTGCAGCCACGAATACCATAGAATTCTGCAACCATTTTCTGGATCACTGGGAAAATGTCTTCGTTGAATATAAAGTGGGTGCCAAGCTGTTGTAATGCTTCTTTGTAAGCATCCGAATTCTTCACGATCTTGTAAACCTTCTTCTTTCCTACACCATAGAACGCACTCGTTGAATCACACCCGCTTATAGCATGTAGGGCAGGAAGGGCATCAGCCATTTCTTTTCCGATGTTATCCGCTATCTTAGATACCGATAATATTCTTTTTTTTCCCTTTGAGCCAATCTCGATGTACAGGTTACACCGAATGCGATCTTTATAGTAGATGGCAAGGATTGCAACATCGCTATCGACGGTCGAAATACAGATATTCTCGAACTCGATGAAGTGTTGGATAGCGTGCTGGCAACATACGAACATCTTGGTGTCAGCTTCTTCGTGATCCGAATCAAGCGCCTCGTCTTGTCGACATGTAACTGTGTTTCCAGATACCTCTAAACGATAACCTTCACTTTCAATGGTAATAAAGATGACTCGACCGTTGATGATATCTTTGAAACGGTGGGGATCTGACCAGTCTTTTAAAAGGAATTTGACAAATCCAATTTTATTCACACCATCACTAAGGTATTTTTTGAATTGTTTGGGCCGTTTTTGATCTCTTCTTGTCAACTGCATACGGATACTGCCAGCCGCTGCCCGTCGTTGACGTTCAACGCTCTTCAAAGAATCTTCTTTGTATTGATCTGTGACCAAGTAAATCACCTTTGCCTGGTTGCTTGTAATCCTTTTCAGCAGAAATTCTGACATTTCACCAAACGTTCCAAATTTTGTTGAAACAAGCTGCTGGATAAGAACCATGCCATCAAAAACTCGAACACAGCTGTCAGGAATATTTGCAACAAGAGGGTCTGCGCCATCACATTCAACGAGTTCTAAAAGATTAGACTTTACTGTTTTAACCAGTCCGCCATCAACTGTTGCCAGTGACCATGGAATTGGGCCCAATGAATAGGTAAGCACGTCTTTTATACTGATTTCGCGTTTCCCACTAATCACCAATAGCCTAGCAAATATATTTCTGTCAGCTTTCAATGTCAGAGTCTTATCACGAATCTTACAGGATTTTTTCGCTTTCAGGGCTGCAAATGTCTTTAATTTAATCTTCGGGATGGGACAGTACATATCGACCGCATTCGACTCTACCCGGTCTCTTATAAACATCCTTAGGGCTTCTTCTCCTTTCTTTTCCGCATTCACCATGTCTTTCCGGATTTCATCGCTTGCTTCTATGCCAGAACTAAGGTGCACCAGCTCACTATTTTCTGTAAAAGGCGATCCCCATTCTTTTAGTAGCTCATAACTTCGCATCACGCATTCTTCGTCAAATAGAACTCTTTTCTCAGACAGATCTTTTGTTGCACTGTAAAGTTCTGCCATTCCTAAAAATTCTTCCATGTTGGACTTGCATTTCGCAGCTATGTGACTCGTAAGTACCCATCGTTGTACAGTCCCTTCTGATGTGCAGAAATTGATAATACCACCAGCACATTTTTGATCCCTGTTGATTGTCTGCTCTATTGCCTGGTCAGATGGAATCTTGTTAAACGTGCCGTTAACCCTGCGGACTGAAAAATTTCCGGCCATAAATTCCTCATGGATACCCGGGTGTGTTTCTGGTAATTTTTGCATTGTTATCCAATAGTAGGTAAGGAATCTCGCGTAATTTGGACGATCGTAGGCGAACATCCAGGGAAGCATTTTCTCCGTAGCTCTCAGGTGTAATTTCCAGTTTCCTAGCTTGATCGAACGTAAAAAGTCGAGCAGTATCTGCACCATTTGAAGAAAAGACGACCAGATTGAAGCTGTTGCTCCTAAATCACCATGCAGTAGCGAGTGTTCATATTTGTGAATGCCATTTGTCACTTCTTCGCTATTTTTGTAAACACTCTCCATCTTTTCTCTTGTTGGTGCAGAGACGAGTTCTTGCAGTTCAAGAGAGTTGATAAATTCCTTGTAGGTGATATCTAATTCTCCAGTGTTATCGTTGATCCACTGTTCAAAACTCTCAAGCATAAGCCTCTTCATTGAATCGTAGACGTATTTGAGAACCCTTACGGCATTATTATAATGCTTTCCTTTGAGCATCTGATCAACAGCACTTTCTCCGAGCAGATTAGATTCTACGACAAGATCACGAAGCCCAGCATCGCCGAAACGTTTTCCAATCACTGCAATAAAAATACACATTGTGTGAAATGCTCCGAGACGCAGGACGATAAATTCTTTGAGATCAAAGTGCCTGGGATTCATGAAAATGTCCACAGCTTTCGAGTAAATTGCCATATCAAGGACAACATCTGTCTCGACTAGACCGAGCTTTTCTGCTTTAATTTTGGATTGAGTGAGCAACTCCAGAACTGTGTCGTAGGAAGATGGAGATTGGTTGATGGCAGGAAGGTATTCAATGTTATGATGACTGTCGCTGTCACTATCGGTTATCGTGTAATTAAAGCCTGTCCAGTTTGGGATCTTCTGCTTGGCATTATCGGCGGTTGCTTGGAATTTTGCAATTACCCACAAGGTATCCGTTTTGTGCGAACACCGCTCTTCTTCTTCATATAGGTTACGCCTAATATTTTTGTGGCTCTCAGAGCTCTGTCGTTTTATTTGGATGTAGGCCGGGATTTCAACGTGCAATGGCGTGAACTTCTTTGATCTTGGTTTACTTGGGTCATCTTGCGATTGATCTATCGATGTTGCTGTGCTGGATGTTTCTGTTTCTCTCATGGGAACATTGGATGACTGGATGATAATTCCATTTGTACAGTGCATACTGATGCCTTTCAAACTTTCAGGGTTTATATCGTTGTTGTCCCAAACAAATGTCACAAAATGACCTGGTTGGATAGTGGCAGGTATAAAAGTCCTTAGTAGTTGCTCTTTGCTATGTTCTCTTGCCAGATGTGTCTCCAGGATTATGACATCATCGTACGATATCCCATGACCAAATTTGCTGATCCAGTTAATCACCATCTTGGAACCAGTTTTTCTCTTAACTGAAAAGGGAAAGGTAACATGTTTTGATGTCTTCCTTCTTCCATTGTTCGCATGGTAAATAAGGTCTTGACCAATAGACGATACCAGTCGTTTTAGTTTCTCAGTTGCTATCGATCTTCCCGAAATAATACTCTCCAGTAAACATTTTGTTAAAGGTGGGATGCTGGTCGTTTTTTCCAAAATCTCTGCTTCCGAGGGCGGCCAACTATAAATAGAAGTAATCTTCCTGTAAACGTAGGATAAATGCTTGAAAAAGTAAGTATCAAGCAAATACATAGGCAAATACAATGTTATTAACGTTATAGGAATGAAAAATACATTGGAGAAATGTCAGACCTATGGGGAGGGGGGAGGGGGGGGGGGAGGGGCACGGTTTTTCCAAATTGAAACGTGTAGAATCTCATCGTAAGAGAGAACATTTTTTGCAGTCAAGCACCCTCCGCATTATTTTACAAAATCGATCTTTTGACCAAAGACTCTTACAATAAACAAATGGAAAATATTGTTATTCACGGCTGTGTGTGTTTCTTTGAAAACAAGTTGGAATATTAACTGCCTATAAAGTAAAAATAAGTACATTCTAATCATTAAATCAATGACACACGAAAATGGATGGCCATTTGTGTGTTTTTGAAGAAACATGAAGATACCCAACCTGCTGAATGTGTCTGGAGTTTCTATCAACTCGTTGCGGATCTCCTGAGCTACTTCTTTGGTTTTTTCCTCCATGGTTTTCTCCCTATAATTTGCTAGTTTTGCCTTCACTGCTACTTCAACCAGTTGCCCTTTTTCAATGGTGTTATTGTAAACGAGATCGCTTCCATAACTTGGACGCCAAAAACCAATGTTTGAACCGAATGATCTTTTAAGTTTGTCTTTTAAACTCTGCATCTTAAGCGGGGGTGTAGTCTGTTCTCCAAATTGACACTGGGATTGTATATCCGCATACTTCTGCAACAATTCAGACATGGATAGCACATTACAGTCGGTGAGCACTTTTTCTGTAACGAACTTTGAAAGCTGTTGGAAAATTTCATCTTCCTCTTCGCACTGTTTGATGTACGCTTTCCTGGTTAAATCGCGATAACACGTCCGATGGTAAAAATACTCTTTTGCAAGTATGGTCTGCCAGTCAGCTCCAGCAACTTCAGCATACAAACGTGTGTTCTGTGCCTGTGTAACAGAGGGCGATATCACTGCATTTACCAAATTCCGCGCACCGTTCTCAGTTTCGCACTTTTGCAGATGCTCATAACCACTTCCACTCGTTGCTGTTTTTTTCTTCCCACAAATGCAGCACTCATAGTCAGCCAGTAATTTTCCTGAATTGCAAAGACGTATTTGGAATCATAATGAAATGCACGGAAATTAAAAAACCAACACAATTTTTTAAAAACAATATTTAATAATATCACTAAGACATTTATTGAACAAACCTGCCCGATTGGACTTTCGACCCGATGACCGACATGCCTCAGTTTCTTGAGAAAACCCGCATTGTTTTAATTCATCTGACTTTCCCGCCAATTTTTTTAACGCCTTTGAATGGGTATACTCCTGGTAGCATTTTCGATGGAAACCATATTGTGATGTTGGCAAATTATCACCATAATCATCTAATATTGAAACTACATTGGCATCATTCCTGATTTTTGCTGCGTTGTAAACTGATTTACGTGATTTCTCGCTGAATTTTGTAATTGTTGCCGATTTATCACGTTCTTTACATTGTATCAGACAAACACAACTTTCTTCTTCCTTTTTCTTTTTGGGAGGAGTGCGATTTAAATTAATTTTAACGTTTGATAGACGCTTTCTCTTTTCAGACATTTTCGAACTGTAACTATTTGGAAAATAACTCTTTATAAATTTAGCATAAATTATTACATCTAATATTATAAAAACTATATATGGAAAAATAGCAAGTATACAAAGTCAATTAGGCCTAGCTATAAAGTATATTTATAATATTTATAATATTTATAATATTTACAATATTTATAATATTTATAATTTTTTTAACATTTATAATGTTTATAATATTTATAATATTTATAATATTTATAATAAAGACGTCAACACGAGCACATGCAAGTTCATAAATTATATCAGCTGTTGTTTAAATAAGTGTGTGCAGAACTTGTTAATGCCGGGGCAACAGCTACTTAAAGCTTGAAAGTAATAAGCAAAAACAATAAAATACTAAAAAAAAGTATTTTGAAAATAATTGTGAAAATAACAGCTCTTAATTGCATCTCTTCCCGTTTCCTCTTACATGACGTTTCAAGCTTGTGCTGACAAAATAGCGCGGGCGCATTAATTTTTCGAAAATTTGTTTACAACTCGAAGAGGGGGAAAAGCCAGCAAAGAATCGTGTTGGAATCGTTTCTCAAGAAATTTCAGACAATCCAACAATCAAATTTGCATTCGGCATGTTTCAAGCTTCAATTCTACACCAAAAACGAATTGTCCCAAACAACCGTAAGTATTCGCTTATTTTCGGCTTCCATCTGCCGGACTAAAACACTTATGAATACACCCTTTCGATAATTACGTCACAAATACTTCCTTGACACGGGAGCCTTGTTTTGAAGAGTCCACAGCTGCGTATTAGTCGATTGCGCGTTTTAGCAATGTGGAAAATAGCCGCCAACTTGGTAACGTCCCTCTCGCGGCCATCTCCATTAACGACGACCCGAACAACACTACAGTATACGCAAATTTAACATTTTTGTATTCTTTGGGGGATGATTGAACGCATTTTATATATGGTTAGCTCACCATTTTAACAAAACGGACTGGTATTTTTTATCTGGAAAAAAAGTCCGACCAATTTAGCACTTGGTCGGACAAGGTGTAAATTGGTCCGAACGTACATGCGATGTCCAACCGTTATTTCAGGCTCTGTGCACTTCACACAAGTAAAATTATACGAGATTTGCTTCCCAATCCAAATATGTATACCTCTGAGATTTGTAAAATTATCAATCTTCTGTTTCAAAATGACATCGAGACGTTGCACATATTCTAAACAAAATGAGAAGAACAAAACTAAATACTATTTGGTAGAACAGCTTGAAAAGTAAACAGTATAGGCCTGTCTCAAACGTCGCTCTTTTCATGCGTCGAACTTAATAGCTGTATTAAGTGCTACACAAGAGCGACGTTTGCTTTAGGTTAAAGAGTCCTGGTCAACCACAATGTAATGCGTGCGTTTGTTTACGTTTCTGTTACGTTGTGGGCCAGAGGCAGCCATTTTGTGTGGCCTCAAAAATGGCGGCAACAATTGATAAAAGTAACGGAAAAACGTCAACAAAAGCGCGCATTGCATTGTGGTTTGACCAGGACTCTTTAAGTTCCATAATCAATAGAATGGATTAGGTGCGACGGAGGCATTTGGAGCGACGTTGGAGGGACAAGTCTTGTCGCACTATGCGACTCAGGAGCGATAGCAAATGCATCATGCGCCGAACCAAATGCATCAATTATTTTAATCTATGTTATATGTAATTTATTTTATATATTGATGAGCGACATATTATGTTGGACGTTTAATCTGACAGCGTTCCAACGTCGCACTAGTGTCGCATGGAAATGTATTAGGTTCGGCGTATGAAAAGAGCGACGTTTGATCTTAGCCCAACCTCCTTTTCATACGTACGTTCTAAATCTGAATCAACGTCATCGACTTTATCCAACAAGTTCTCTTCCTGTTCGAGTAGCGCTTTAGTTTCCTTGAAGAATAAAAAAGAATACTCAGTGTCAGCACACCTTTTTCGCTCAGAGTGCCGGGAAACAAATTTATCGAGTAGCCAAATTGCTTAAGGTACGTCATGGTCGGAAATTACGTCTACAAATAGACACCTAAGTTACGTCAACTCATCTTAACTGAGCATGCGTAGATTGTGCATGCTGACGTGAACTGAATATTGATGAGGCGAATAACTACTTAATTTTTTCAAGATATAGTTGGCAAAGTCTTTAATTTATTGGTAAAATTTGAAGTAGAGAAAAGGCTGAAGGCCCAAACACTATTACGAGACTCAAGCATATATATATATATAAAAACATATTAATCTTACAATTTGAGCTCTAGCCTCTATTTTGTCATATTAAATCGAAGAAAAGCGAAAATTAGCTGCATTGAAATCTTTGGTAGGAAACATTGTCGGGAAAGCCTTAGCAACAAAAATAAACAAAGCTCGCAGCCGGTATATATGAACAAAAACACCCGAATTTACAGAGAAAAAATAACTATTCCTATGTGAACCACTTTATTCTAAATTTGATGAATAAAACTTGAGAATATATATTTTACAGCATTTGATCGCAGTTGCTAAGACTATCTTGCTAAGGGGATTACAATGCATAGTCAATAGATCGATTAGAAAATGGCTTTCATTCTTTTTTCTTCCGAAATGAATTTCGACCAAGGTAATCACTGCCACCTTATACAATACCTCAAGACTACTCGTTTTACAAAGTATAAATATAATACTATGTATTGTCTTTGAGAAACTAAATCTTAAAAATACCACCAGATTTAGCAAAGAAGACTGACTAGCCTCGTTTTGGTGCTTTTGCACATTTCAAAGGGTTACAGTTTCGCTTGCATGGATTGTTTTCAATGTTAAACTCTTACACTTTGCCATGAATAGCAGTCTCTGCTGAAAAATTGGTTATTGGTATAGGTAATAATAGCATGGTTTCGAGTGCAATCATAGGCAGCCCACTAAACGACTGAATTTAAATTAAAACTGCAGTGAAATTATAAAATTTAACGAAAATAATCACAAATTAGCGAAATATATTGCGAAATGTAGCTTATATTAAATCGCCACTCGATTGCACTATCGGCGAATTGACGTATATAAAGTACACCTGACAGTCCTAAATTGCTTTAAACTGATAGGTTGATTTAATCATCACAATCTTTTTCCACCAATCAGATCAGTTTGTAACAGATTTTTGCACTGTAATTACAGAAAATTGCACTGTGATTACAAAAAATTGCACTGTGATTACAGAAAATTGCATTGTGATTACAGAAAATTGCACTGCTGTTTGGATTAACTGCCCTGAAATCAATCAATCACAGTCGAGTAATATCTTTATCTATATTATTAGCCTGGTAATGCATAGAATATAAAATAATGCAAAACTATGAATGCCGGTTAGTTTTCGAATGGGTACGTTTTTTGCATCCGGTACTTATATCCAGGACTTGAATTTGGCTCCATTAGGAAGCTTCAACTTGTCCCTTTCGTTTGACTGAAGTAACCCCGCAATGCCCACTCTATACATGCCCATATATCTGTGTAATTTCCGGTCGTGCTACACTTCTGTGAATGTTAACTACGAATAGTTTCAGTTGATGTCGTTTCGTACCTCAACACTTTTCTTGTGACACTCAACAAGTTGTTCTTCAGCATCTTGCAGTTGAGAAACAGCCTCGTGAAACGTGTACAGCTCATTCTGTTCAGCCTCGCCTGAGCCCTGCAAGTTGAATATACATAGTCGTTAATTAATTTAGACTACGTTCACACTACGCCGGAGCACTTTGAAAGCGACACAGAAAAGGCACAATTAGTCGTCGCATTCACACTGCGTCGAGCGAAATTTGAGACATCTGAATGGGTCATCCGAATTACGTCACAAATGTCAGAGTTATTAACCGGTGAACGGTCTCAAAAGACTAGTTCGTACTAGCAATTTTGTCGGCGATTTTTCTCATCCTGGTGGATGTGACTGAACGAGTGACATGCAAAATACTTAGAAACGTATACTTCCAAAAACCGAATAGAAAATTTCAAAATCTACTATTTCGGTTGTAGAGAACAAATGTAAATTTCCATTACCCCTGAATACCCCGTGATAATGAATCGACCTTTTTTTGTATACATAGCCAGTTCTATATTCATTCGTTGCTTAGCTAAGATTGGTTTAATTCAATACTACATTAGAAAACAGCAAAACCAGTACTCACACTATGTGTACACAGTAATGCAAGATCAGCATTGCTAGCCGCCGGATCACCACTTGATAGGGTAGGAGATACGACATCCGGGGTATCATCAAAAGCTATATAGTCCTCGCCACCTTTCTTGTTGTCTGGACCTAGTTCTTTCACTCTAAACACAGCAAGTTACAGTAGTTGTACGTTAGGGACCAGTTACTATTCGTGCCCGCGAAGGAGGGCATTAGAGAAACATTTTCTTGCCTTAATATCTTATTAAGGCAAGGACCTTTAGCTATTAATGGGGACCTTTTGCTATCAGGTCGGCTACCAATAGAACAAAAATTATGACAGTTTTTACCTTTTCATGCGGCCGTGCCCCAGCGTCTGCGTACTGTCTTAATCATTTTAAAATGTACACGAAATACTAGTGCTGTGCGCCGGAGTATTGCCGGAGTAGTGCTGTGCGCCGGAGTAAAGGTAGAACGTGACAATATCGTAGAATTAACGTTGGTTACAAATAATGCCAACAATGAATTTGTTGAAAGTACATATAATCTGAAGTCATATCTGTTGTTTCAAACCATTTCGCCATTTTTGGCTGCTAGAAATGGCCAAATTGGAGTAACTCATCGTGATTGTGATCTATCTATCACAGGAAATGTTGTAAATCGTAAACTTTGATAAGCTGCAACACGTCAGCTTACCTTTGGGACAGAATTGAGCTGAATAATATCCGCCGTTATAGACATTATAGGGGTGTTGTGAAAAACACAGCGGGAGATTTAAACTGTAAAGCAGACGGAGTCGGTGCCGGAGCTGAAAAACTGGAGTTTGCACAGCACTAGTAAATACTAAAGAGTCAAGGCAACCAGGTTTAATATTGAACATGTTTTCGCTCGCAATTCTGGTGGCTTTGAGTAATTGAATGCAAAGACCGGTCTCAAACCGGACTATCGAAAATGGGGTCCTAAATATGAATGGTATTCGACAGTAATTTGCATTCACATACTTAAAACCAGATAGCGAGCGAAAACGTGTTCAAATATTAACATCATTGACTATGTCCTAAAATAGACAGTACAAAGGTCGCCTTATTTTCATAAAGGATACCATGAACGCTCTACACATGTGCAACAATTTAGGCCAACCTGGATTAGCTCAAAGCAACATACCTATCAGCGTAACGTAAAGTGTTAAGAGAATGTTCACAGCAATTCATTCCGGGTGAAACAGTTGCAATCTGAAATCATGAAAATATATGGTAAATATTTCGTTTCAACTACACCTTTCCACATTCAAGTGGATGTTTATGGTAGTGGGCAATTTAGGTTACCAGTGAACGTTCTGTATCTCGCACTCTCCGTTCCCACGGTGGGGCAGTTGGGTGACAGAATAATGTATGGCTTAGAGACATGGGCTTTGCGGAAGAGGGACGAACGGCAGCTCGATACAACATGCCCAGGAAGCTTCGAAAAATATGATTTAGAAAGGTAGCAACAATGACATACGATTTGAAACTGGCGTTATCAAAGAAGAGCAGAGAAGCGAGAATGCGATTGTTTGGTAACATTTTGCGAAGAGAGGAAGAAGATCCTGTCAAGTTAGCATGGAGACATCCAATAGAAAATCGAAGGTCAAGTTATGGAAATTTTGAATGATTTGCATTATTCAAATCTTTTGAAATGTATTGCCTTTAATCTGTTTACATGCAGGTTTATTAGCATAGCTTGACCAGTTGCCATGGCCAGCTTCACCACTGGTTGAGAGACAAATGTTCAGATGGAAACATATTAGTGAGTTTAAGCAAGTGACGTTTTTGTCAACACGGATGTCACCCATAGATATCTTATATACACTAGATAGTGCATCTAATTATTCTGCAATTCAAAAATCGAAGCCGTGATTGCAGTCTCAGGTCGTTCCCATGAAATGAGAAGGTTCGTATGTTTTCTGTTTCTTAAACAGGGAACTTAAACATTAAGTTAACCCTACTCCAAATACGTTTTTAAACTATTCAAATGATGAAAGTTATTGTTATTTTTAAGCGTTTATTAGCAAGTTGGAACGACCAACATGGCCGCCATCTATTCAAATGGGGGTAACCGCTGGAATATTCTTGGCTTCAATTTTGCTAAAAGAGATACGCTATCTAGTGTATATAAGATATCTACGATCTACCCCAAAAATTGGTATAACTAATTTTGGCAGCATTTTGCATCAAAGCGCTTGCGTAAGGAGGGAAAAAAACTTTAAAAATCAAACTGACGCAAACATAGATTTCAATCCAGTCCCCCTTCGGCAATCTGACGTCCGTGTTGACACGTCGCTTGCTTAAGGCGGCTCCCTACAGTTTTAGGTCTGTGTCGCGGAAATTTTGTCCACGCACGAGATTAGTAGTGCTACACGCAACACGCGTGGTCGACGTTGCACGCGTGGCGTTTTTTTTTTTAAATTGCGTCGTGATCTACACGCGCGGGCCTTCGTGGGATTGTCGGCTGGTCGCGCGAGGAAATTGAAATCCTGATTTTTGTGACGTCACATAGATAAAAATAAATGTATTTTTCTCGTGTTTCCTTCGGTAAATTTTTTTAAAACTTCACACACTTTCCTGTAATCTTGAAGTGCGTAAAATGTGCAAGTTTTAAGAAAATCTAGACTTGGATCAAGTCCGTCTCCATTCTCGCGCTCGATTTCGTTGCTTCGCGATTCGGACTCTAGAGAGACGGACTTGATCCAAGTCTAAAGATTAAAAGAAAATCGTACGAGCCGAATTTTTTTTTATTCCAAAAACAGGGCTTTTTGTAGATTAAAAAAAATTCTCGTACGATTTTTTCTAAATGCTATCATTTGAGGAATTATAGATAAGATTACTGTGTGCAAAAAATTAAAAAGTTTTACCGAAGAAATTTTCAAAAAATTATCAAACAATCTGCAAATTAGCCCTTTTTAAAATCGCTTTATTACCATGGCAACGGGGATTCTTAACGACATTTTTTTCGTAATTCGTGATATTGTAGCAACGGTCCGCAACGGCAAAGAAGCAGAAGAAGAGGCTGGGCAGTACGCCAGATTTACCGAGAAACTCAGCTAAGCCAGAATGCGTGTGTCTAATGTCTATATAGACAAACTTTTCACGACTGGTTTCGATTGGGTTGAAGCGAGGTTACAGTAATTTGGGTGGAAATAATAACCGCTTTAATCTTTTGTAGATATTTTAAACTTTGCAAAAAGGATACATACAAGCACTTATCCACTATACCTGTACACGGTTGTAAAAACTCAACATTCAATCGAATTTTGAATCTATATTTTACACAATATGCATTGAAGAAATTGCGATAAATGTGTGTAATTAACTTTAAGAGGAAGACAATCCTTGAACGTTGTATATTCTTCAACACGCCATTAAATTAAAACGGTTATGTTTTTCTTCAAACGCTCTGTGTGAACGCGGGACAATATCATTTCTTAGAGCCAAAATAAAGGATTTTACGGATGTTGGAGGGTTTTAGTGGATGTGGGATTGTGTTTCTATTTGAACTCAATCTTCTCCGAAAAACAGTAGTAAAACAAAATACTTGTCGTCTAATTTAAATACAGATCAAGTCATTTGGATCAAGTCAGGAGGATGTCCATTTTGCCCAGATTAACAAAAAAAATGTGGCCTAGATCTTCCTATCAGATAAGAAATGCTGCTCTAACTGCTCTGACTATGCAAATTGAGGGCAGAATATTTTCCTTTCATCATCACTGTCGTTAAACTCAATTCACATACAGTACGTACCATACAAGTTTTTGAATTCTCCCCAATAAATGAATCTTTGAGAACCTGGAAATGGAACAGCACGAACAACAATTTAGTTTGACATGAACTGACCTTTATGATGCCGTCGAGCGATAAACGGTTCATGCGCTTTTACTAAGAAGAGTGACAAGGAGTGTGAATTGTTATTAGAGTGAAAAAAAGTGTCGAAAGAACACAGCTGTCGAAATTTGCGTTTTCTGGTTATAACAAAAGCGTATGACGAAGCAGTAAACTTTATGATCTTGGTATTCGATATAGTAGAAAAAAATGTGGTTGGTGTCAATTTATACGGTTAAAACTTCGTTGACTTCGTAGTTCAGTTCTGATATTTTGCCTATATATTCTGTTCTGCTGCGTTAATTTCAACGTTAATACACGACAGACGTTTGCAATAAAATGACAGAACCCATTGCATGTGACTTTAAGGCTACGTTTACGTTAGCGGCGTGAAAAAGCACCTATCCGATACATAATGTACAACTTTCAGAAGCTGAGCGAAACAACATCTCTCCGTTGCAATAATTCCTCTGAAAATAACGTTCCTAAAAGGTACGGATATGTGATCATTCACGTTGCTACGGAAGGCTACCCAGTACAGTGTAATAGCTTAAGTCAGCTATCGATATTTTCTGTGCGAATCCATAATATCGACAAGCCATGGATGACGTGGGCAGATATGTAATTCGAGTAGTCGTGAATACTGGAAATTGTCAGTGCCGCATCGCTATATACATGATAGGTATAGATTTGCTGTATTTCTGATATGATCGAGCTATCCAGTAAAACTAAAGTGTATTTACCTGTGTCAGTTTGCTGGCTCGAAAAGGAAGGTGGGCGCCGTTCCTGCCAAGCGCACGTATACATTCCTACAATGAAAACAATGCAAAATTAACTTGTATAGTATTGTTTTTATTACGCTTACTTTTGGTGCTCGCTCTTTATAGTACAGACGTGATATTAAGGTGATATTATATACACTCTAAATATTCCTGGTTAAATAACCTGGTTATTTTAACCATTTTTCCAACCATGTTACGTACAGGATCCGGCTAAATATCCACCTATATAACATACTCTGGTTATTATAGGACGACCTAGTCAATTATAACCAGATTTTTGGTCACATGCATTACTAATTATTTACTATGGTAGGAAGTGATATAAAATACCAGCCAGACATTTAAGCAGGGACATTAAGTTAACCCAAATCGAGTCATTCCTATGTTAACAATAGGAAAACCAGAGAGTTGGAGTAGAGTAATATTCTCCGTACCTTTAAAGCAAGTAAACTTTTATTTATTTCTGCTCCTTCTAGTCTTGTTTGCCGATCAGAGTTTGACGTATCAGCACCTCTTTCATTTCCTAAATCACGACAAATGATAAAACATGGTCGTTTACGTCATATATCAGTAAAAATAAATCGAAGCTTAAGTCACGACTCGTATAAACATTCATTTGTGATAAATTTCGACCCTATATATAGGCTTATTTATGGCGGAGCTTATATTCTATCACACGAATGTCCCTATTTGAATTGATAGTTTCAATACGATACAAGCAGGCAGAAATGAAAGATTATCGTTACTATAGCCAATCAAAATATGGAGATCGAAACAAAATCCGCGTTATTGCTATCTCGTCGTGCAAAATTTATTAACTATTGTATTATAAAAATAAAACCGCGTGGATCATGAAATGCATGGAAACTCATGCAGACGCGATTTATTCGTTGCATGTCTCTTTATGCCTTTCACCCATATATGTGTCTGGAAAGGAGGGTGTACATATTAACGAGTAATACAATATACATTTACTATATTCTGTATAAATGTAAGATACATTCAATTTAAGGACTTGTAGATTTTTTTAAAAAATAAGGACGTGTGGGTACTCAATATGGCAAGATGAACATTAAGGATTTTCCTGTTTTTTTATGGATCACCGTACAAACCATTAGTATCGAGCCTTCAGAGTGACACATAGTTGGGATTAGATACATGACTATATACGGTATACACTGATCGGTCTTGAAATTACAGAAGACTATGCCTGCATTTTTTGCCGTTGTAACCTAAAAATCCCATGAATGGCTTCCGATATCAAACAATCAATTTAAGTAAGAAAGTTATAACGCAGTATAGACATCATATTACACTCCATGAATACTAACCAGCGAGGTCAATCAATGAAAACTTGCCATAGAGCTGACCACCTGCTCCTCCTTTCATATGACCTCTAAAATGGAACATTGTCCGTCAGTGTGGTGGATATAAAAAACCCCACAACATATGACAGAGCTTAATTTTCGCACGAGTATTGCTTGTCTGAAACTAGATATATTGATCACCAATCTGCAAGCAATAGATTCCAAAGTAATCATAATGCCCTGGGTTATTTTGAATCGATCTCTGACAATGCAAAGTCAGTTTATCAGCGACGATTTTAGGCGATGATCTTATACGTTGTTAAAAACGTTTTCCAAATGCTAATGTGGACGCTGAATAACGATCTTCGTCACTTTTGGAGCCCTTTTTTGAGCTGGGGCCACGGGCAAAAATACCTCCTTGCCCAGCTTGACGTGGAAGATATACACTTTTAAGTATTATAAGATTCTTTTGGTATTGACTATTCCTTACCGGCGACGTAATATAATTTGAAAAACAGCATGAGATCTAGACGAATTCTGATTGGCCGACGTTTGACCAGATGTTCTACACAAATATAAAATTTAATGTTAAAACAACTATGCTACTGGGTGTCCTCCCCCAGAACATTTTTATATGACTGAATTTTTGACATTTTCTACAGTATTCACAGGGAAAAAACAAATATTTTCGTTAGCTTGATAATTGCACAAATGGATTTAGAAATCACTGTTTCACCCCTCCCAAATTTTTCATCGAATTTGAACGAATCTAAAACTACACTTTGAAAAACATTGATTGTGTTATGACGCCCATAGCCAGCCAAATAAGGCTGGGAAAATGGTAGACCACCGGACTTAGTCTGACTATTGGTCCCAACAAGTTTTAAGGATCATCAAAGGAGTTTTAGAAAAGGAGGAGTAAACGAAAGAAGACAGAGAGAAATATTGGGGGATACAATAATAAAACAGACAAAAAGAATAGGGAATAACTGACAAATAATAGGACAGTGTATATCACGCTTCGATTTGAGCAAAAATGTAAATTTTAATTCTGAAACACAAAATACATAACCGACAGATTATGTAATCGTTAAGAAATGTAAAACAGTCAATCATCGCAAGGAAAAGGGCAAAAGTGCTCTCTTAAACTACCTTAGTTAGCTAGTTAACGATAAATGTGATACAAGGGAATGGTGCGTTTGATTCTCTTCATTGCGCAAGTCAATATGGTGAATTTCTATAGCGAACTCTCACCAAAATAATGCCAGAAATGCGATCATCAAGTTAAAAAATATAAACATTTTCTGGCGGAGCACCACCAAATCCCCATTATGAATACATTGAAGGTGACAGGTAAATGTTTAAAATTGAAGTTCCAATGGCGGGTAAAATCCTTCGACACCCCGACTCCAGATGCTTCGCAACATTCTTGAATTATATATTAATTAAAAAGTGCTCCTCTACGATCTGCCCCCCCTCCCCTCCCCACTTCTCGTCATTCTTGCGTAAAACAGTCAGCCATCGAGTTCTCCACTTAAGGCCACGACGCAAATTCTGACTCAAAGTCATGTTATCTAAAAAGTAGCCACTGGGTAATTATAAGAGCATGGCCCGCACGCTACTTTGTCGACATACTCTTAAGGGGGTGTGGAGCCACTCAAAGTGCATGTCATCATCCAAAATAAATGCATATATACCTTAAACGATTTCCGATTTCAATAAGTTTCAAAACATCTTCTACTGCATTAACAACACTTTCTTGTAACTCACAAACCTTTAAAAATTCATAAGAAAGAAATTACCAACAAGACGCCGTATGCAAGGAGAGCAACTTTAGATTTTATATATGCTTATATGATGTTTCGTTTCAATGAAAATTAGTTTTCGAAACCGGCAAAAATAGTAAATCTACCAGCAAGCATGACTCGAACTTACTTGAACTTGCTGATTTCCATCCTCCAAAACTCTTAATTTACGTTTTTTATTTAGTAGATCAAACACCTAGAATGTAGGATAGCAACATCACATTAATCAAGCAATATGGTAAGTAATTAATTAAATAAGAGTAAGAAACGTTTTCCATTATATGCAATTAAATTGTGTAGTATTCAGTTCCGAAATTAAACAATCATCTGCTGCAACCTCGTTCCCAGACTCTTCCCTGTTGTGGATGTAAACCCATCGCAGTGAGCTCGCTCTCTCTCTCTATGTATACGAAGTACGAACTTCACTCGTTCGACCTATGAAGGTCCTAAGCGGTTTTCATATCATTATCCCCAACTAATTCCTGTTTTTTTCTAACGGACCGCATCGCTATACTCGAAATACGCATGCGCACGTTCGTTCTTACCTTTGCACCATATATCTCAAAATAACTACACGATATAACAAGATCTTTGTTCTTGTGTTTAGGATTCTTTAAATATTTAAATACATCGTGAGCTAAACGAAAGGATAGAGCAAATCAATACCATGTTATAAAGATCGTAAAATATCAAATATGTGAAAAGGTCCTTTTGATTTCCCGACTTTATCTTATTTATCTCTTAACATGGAATGTAAAAATTTTGAAGGCCTCAGATTCGTTTTGAGTATATTATACTACCTTTTGCGCCGTTTACAATATTTTGTAAAATCTTAAACTAAAATGCAGGAATTAGCATTTGATGGACTTAGCATTTAAAAATTTACCCCCCTATAGACTAGATTTTCTTGAATGCATCTTTGGCGTCGGTTTATCCACCTCATTTTTTTAAAAAAAGTACGGACGCATAAGACGCATGCAAGAACTCTAGATCTATAGGGGAATCCGTGCACATCTAGATCTATAGGGGAATCCGTGCGCATCTAGATCTATAGGGGAATCCGTGCACATCTAGATATATAGGGGAATCCGTGCACATCTAGATCTATAGGGGAATCCGTGCACATCTAGATCATTCTATAGGGGAATCCATGCACATCTAGATCTATAGGGGAATCCGTGTGCATCTAGATCTATAGGGGAATCCGTGCACACCTAGATCTATAGGGGGATCACTGCAGTACAGTTCAATATAGCAATCGGCCATTTTCCGTGTAAAGCGCTGACTACTTTGCACGGATAGTATGGCCGACCATTTTGCTGCATTAATTGGAATATATTCTCTTTTTGCAAAAAAGATATTCTATAGTTCCGCTCATTTTGTGTGTGAAAATTGACACGCACGCGCGGAAATGACGAGTACATTTCTAGTTTCTATTTAACAATTAGTCACCGAAGGCAAGGTGATTACAAGTCTATATTCATCGAGCTGCGAAGCAGCGAAGTGAATATAGTCTTGTGATCACCGAGCCTGAGGTGACTAATTGTTTTAGTATAAATTCAGTATTGAAAAATAATAATATACACAAACGTTGTAAATATATTTTACTTCACTCTTTCGCTTTCGAGTCAAACGAATCCAGCTGTCGGAACCTTGTCGCCTGAATCTGTTATTTTCCGGTTTTAAATTGCCAAATAAATTGTTTTAGGCATCTAAAAGGTGCTTTCGACTAATTTCGGAAATAGGTTAACACCATATATTGTTGCTTCTTTTGTTTTTTTGAGGAATAGTATACGGCATGTGCTTTAATTTCTTCAATTTTTTCTTCGACGATTTGTTAATTTTGGCAGCCATTTTGTTTTGAAAGCAATAGTTACTACTCAGAGCAGTAACTATTGCCTCAGAGTACGTTACTATTGAGGGAGCCAATCAGTACGTTTGAAAGCCATTTTCATGACTGAATGTATACTAAAAATCATACATTGATTGTTATGCTTAATGTTAAACAGTCACCAAGTTTACATAGAATAAAATGAGAGCTACTATATAGGAAAATTTTAAATGTTCAGGCGTAAGCGTATAAAATAACAAAAATATATCAAATGCGAAATATCACAAGAATATGCTTTATTCCGTCCCAAAAATCATGTCAAAACATGCAGTATACGTTTGAGTAATACTATGCATTCATAAACATGCAACATATTACCAACGTGTCAAAATTTCAGTAGAGTTCATTGACCAGGGACGAACATTTCTTTGATCAGCAGTTTTTATAAAAAAAAAAACAATGTTGACGCGCATGGTCAAAGATGACGCCCTGCGCTGATCAGAAATAGAATACTTTTTTGCCTAAATTCTCGTGAAAATATGCAAAGGAACTAATTATAATGCAATGTACTGTACAAATTTTCTCGAGTTCTGTAAGTAATTAGTGTGCGGATCATCGTCAGACCAAGTTTTGAGGATGTATATGTTGAAATCTGCAATGCGGTCAGATTTAATTTATTCTATTGGTCAGACAACCAGACCCAGTGTTTTATTGCACTACACACCTGCTAATGCATAAATGCCTTTACTGCAATCTTGATTCTTGCCAACGATATTTCCACCCATTGTCTACAGAAACAACATAATAAAAAAAATGATTTAGGAATGGTTTATCAGATGAATAATTGTACAAGCCGGTACATTGTACAAGCGTTTATAATGCGCATTTTACTATAGAACTGATATTTGTGGGCCCCAGCCTGATTATAGGCAAAATTGAGCACTCAAATATAAAAACAAGATGGCAAACTACACACCCTTTCTGGTCAAAATATCTCAAAATAGAGATAAAAAAAAGTTATTTCGAATGAGACAGATTTGACTTTTATTGCCATCCCCCTTTCAATGTTTTTATTAATGAGACGATAAGAATGTTAGCGTTATAGGCACTTCAACGGAATATTGTAGCAACTTAGGGGCTTTACATATACTTACATATGTTTTCCCACTCCCTGTTTGCCCATAAGCAAAACATGTCGCCATCCCCTGATTAAATATGGTCTCAATAAGCGGTCTTGCAGTATATCTGGTGAGGAAAATAAGCAGCGAAAAGATATAAATCACAAGGAAATCCATCAAGTTACACAATACATAATTGTATTATAGATAAGAATAATAAATAAGAGTTAAACGGACCTGTAGACCAGCTCATTAGTTGCCGTTTCATCAAACGAATAATCAAACCTGCAACATATAATATGTAAATTATATACATGACAGATAACAAGATCTAGACAGTACTTTTTACAGTTTACTAACTTTACTGTGAGTATATCTGTGATACTCATCGCTTCGCAATGCATATACAAGCCAAATAATCAGAAAAACGAAACAATTTTCTTACACGTGAGTAAAAGTAGATGCGCTTAGCGTACACGCGCCTGCTGTCGCTATGGTCAGACATTGTGTATATTCGATGATGATGTAATTAAACTGTTTGGTTATAAATTAATGAAATATTTTGATGAAGACTAACACGTATAAGAAAAATCTCAGTATGGTGGAAACAAATGAACAGCCCTTCTCATGAAGAATTCTCTATGTACATGTACTAGTTGCTACGTTTGCCATAGTTATAGAAATAGATATGTCTGAATCACGGTTAACTTTAAGGCGTTATAAGAATCTACCGGATGTTGAACTGTATTTTCTCTATACTTACCTAAATTTGTTGTTCTCGAGATACTTTGTTAAATCAACTTTTGTTCTTGGCTCGTGAATCTACAGAGGGTAAAAGGGAAAATAATATGCGTAAATCTAATTGATATGCAGTACATTAGTACTCCAGCGCAGTAGTCCTTGAATGCCTCGAATGGAAGCTGTCTGAAGACTAATTGCCATATTTCCCGAACTCGCCTTGTACTTTATATGTACAGCACGGCCGCTACGTTTATTTTGTTTTGTTTTGAAGCAATCTGTGACCGTAACTTAAATATTGTTTTAAGCTGATTGATTGATTTTAGATCCCATTGTTTTCCCACCAATGAGATCAGTTTTTTTCAGATGTTTGCACTGTTCTTACAGAATTTTTCACTGCTGTTTGAGATTAACCAGGGCCGCCGAGAGGGGGGGGGGCAGGGTTTCCGAGAAACGTGAAATGAAAGATTTTTCTTCGTGGATCGTGAAATGACCGTTTTATTTTTCGTAAAACGTGACCAATAAATGCCCCATCCCCCGTCCATTACTAGAGGGTGTTGATGGGGTATATCGTGAGTCGTGATTCACTCAATTTCAGTTACCGTAAGTCGTGAAAACACTAAAAATTGACCGTGAAGCGTGAGGAAAAAGATACTGTTTATCGTTTCACAACACTTTTCAAAGATTTACCGTTAAAATACCAAAAAGTTACGGTATTGTTACCGTTAAAATATCAAAATTTTTACTGATTTTCAGAACCCCCATATAGACCCTCTTACTACTCTCGTAAGCGCATAATCTAAGATAATTACCACAGTAGTTTCCTTGTCAGGAATTGTAATTACATCAACTTCTTTTCTGTTTAACTCTTGACAGAAAAATGAAGAATAAACTGAGATTAGATAATGATAATAATGAAGATTAGCATATACTTGGAAGGTGGATAGTGCTGTTCACGCAATTTGATTGGTTGCTCAGCTCCGGATACCATGCACTATTCACCTCCGGCCAAAAACAAAATGGCTTCCGGTTTCGTTTGAAAACTGCTGTTTCCGCAAGGATAATGATTGGGTTATAAGACATGCATTTCTATTTACGGACGCGCTGCCCACAATAATTTTTGTCAGGATTGTAGGATTTATTTAATAGAAGTTTTACCCTCTGAAGTATTTTAAAAAGGACGTGTGGAAACACGCAAATCAAAACAGCGAATCATGTTTTAACCTATAGGGTTAGCGCCATTTCTCTTCGCTGAATGACAAAATATTGCTGAACAGTACATGCAGTTTACAACAAATGTATGTCTGACTCAGTACAGTAAAGGTAAAGTAAATTCAAATTAAGTAAGCAAGCAAGTAAGTGGGGGTATGCTAATCAGGCTGACTGGCGGGGGTCCATGGGCATGCTCCCCGGGAAAAATTCTGAAATCTAGACTAGAGTCCCTGAAATTTGACTTCAAACATTTTCTGGGTGAGATTTTGCAGAATTGCGAAGATTATAAAGTGCATCAAAGACATGACTTTTTATGATTTCACAAACGTACACCTGTATCTGCACCTTGTGCCTCATCCGATCACGAAGCACAGCTACGATGGAGGGTCAGTTTGGGGCTATTCCCAACCCACCCTGTCAAAATTCCCTGTGGTAGGAGACCGAAGTACCAGGAAAAAAAACATGACTTTCGGTAGAGCGTTGACTGATAAGTGTCACATACAGTAAGTGCCCCAGAGGTGAAAGGAGCTTGCTCTGACGCCACCATGCACTGAGAGATTGTGTGACAAAGCTCACGGGTTGGTATGCAAGTGGAGAATCTACTATAGCAGAAAAAAAAACCCTGCATGATTGACAAACCTTTCTTGCTTAGTGGTCTTTTACGGACACAGACGCATATCTGATGATCTCTGACCTAAAAATAATATCGTAACAACATTATGAGCCTGAAAGTGTAGTTTTTAACGCTTTCCCAATTCGAATTGGTTTACACCATATTAAATTCTTCCATTGAAATGCAATCAGCCAAAAATCCCTGGTTTTCTGACCCTAGTATCTAGCTTTTGACCATGCACTGAAATTACCAACTTTAATCTAAAAATCTAAATTTTTCAAAGAGCTTGGAGCAATTTTTCGTACCCAATTTGTGGTTTTGAACTACCAATACAAAGTATTCAAAGTTGATATAATATTTAACGAATGTCTGTGACATCTGTGCATGCTGCCGTAATCAACGTACAATATCATTCTTACGCACGAGCATTTATAAAAAAAAATACAAAAAAGAGAATACCCGACCTATCCTATATACCTAAAATTTGGCAACAAAGAATAGGAAACCCATGCAGGTATCCTTTCTTGGTATTAACCACACAGTAATTTTAACAGGTATACCCCTGTTGTGAAGACACCAAAACCTCAGTTAAAGGATTACACGCTGCTTCTGATATAAACATCTCTAATACCAAGCAAGAGAGAATTTATATTGCATTTTATTATATTATAGTAGAGAGCGAGATACTGAAAAAATACGCGGTGACATATTTTCCATATCTTCACTAGTGAGGATATCGATCACGTGACTTTTAGTATTTATACAATTTTTTGCTTCGGACTATATAATAAACAGAACATTACACGTTGGCTTGAACATATGACTTTTATCTTCTCGTGTTAAAAACAATATTTTACTCACTCGCTGCGCTCGTTCGTAAAATATTGTTTTCACCACTCGAAGATAAAAAGTCATATCTTCGCGCCGCCGTGTAATATCCTCTATATATACAGTAACTTACAGGATCATTCATCGTTATTCGTTGCATGTCTAAGTCACTCTGAAATTCCCTATATATAAAGACATCAATAAAAAGAACAAGCAGTTAGGTGCTAATGTGAATGAAGGGGGGAGGACTAAATTTGCGGTACGGCTTTCAAAAAGTTCACCGACGGCTAATTGCTTTGAAACATTACTCTGGTAAAACATAAACGATGCAAGCTGGAATGGCTCATCAAGTACAGCCAAAGAAAAAGGCGAAAGCCTTAGCAAATTTACATGCATTCTTGGCAGCACCTGATTCAATAAGCTTTGTAATTATGGTTTTAAATTTAATTATATTTAGTGCATGCAAATTGATATGTTAGTAAATAGTGTATAATATTGTATAATACTAGTTAATGTGATAATTATTAGTCTGTAACAAACGGTCCCTTGAAAATCAGGTACCTATGCGCCCTGAAGGGTTACCGTTTTAAAATATTTTTAATAATAAAATACAATTATGCACTTCTAAATCAGTATTTTTCATTGAATTCATAACGTTTTACAATTTAAATAAGAGAATACAGTTACACTGTTAGTTATAGCTATACTGCAGTATTTGTTACTGCACACGTAGTTACTACAATGTATAATAAACTGACTTCAAATGCACAATCAGCCTTTCTCACGCCGCCATTTTTGGGTGGCATTTCAGCCGAGATCTGCGAGATAAGTCCACATAACAGCGACATTTTAAATTTTTTTGGACGAACGATGGTAAATTTGCTTTGGGCTAACTGGTTAGTTTATTTTGAAGAATTGCTTTTCACATTCTTTTAATTGTCTGCATTGGTTAACGAGAATTAGATGCCGCCCAAAAATGGCGGATATTCGTCATCGTGAGAAAGGCTAACTGCGGAATATACCTTATCATTTTTATTAGCTCCCAATATGGATTTCCAGGATCTATCTCTTGTTGAATTTTTTCGCGGAGTATCCTCTGTTCTTGTTGTTGTGCTCTACAATAGGAAAATTGTAAATATGTTACGTTTTGAAACACGTCTTAACAGAACTGAAATACTGTACTTTCTTTATTCAAATGATTGGGATTTCAGTCTATTTAATTTCAGTTCCAATCAATTATTATTGCACGGCTCCACGGATTGCTTCTACAATCTCAGACAATAATATTGTACCAGATGGTTTTTCCCTACTCGATGTTGGTAACTCGTGACGTACAAGGTATTTTCCAACATTGAGGGAGGGGGACAGGACTAATAAGTAACATATGGGTGTAACATATAGTGTCAAAGAGTAGGAAGTTGTAGTGACAGGAGAGAACCAAGCACAACTCTACATGTACACGCGCGTCTTCAAGCACACCAAGTTAGAGCAGGGTAATACCATACATTCTACCAATACAGCCTCAACAGTACCATGCAGTGCACTAACGCCAAAGTGTGAACTTACTCGGAACTTCCAGGGTGCGCACAGCCCCTAACTTTGGCGAAGGGCGTGCAAGCATCTTATCACCCTTGCCAGCTAGGTCCCAGGATCCTGCCAGTGATTATGCACTTGGTCAACGGTCGAACCCCAAACCATGACCAAGGTTCAAGCACAACCGCTCTCCCTGTTCTTTAAATTCATGTCAAAATACGAAATTTCGGCACACTCCTTGCCAAGATGGCGGAAATTGAAGGAGCTATTGGCGTCAGTTCCAGTCCCTTTCTATTACTTTTGCCTGCGCGGTTAACACGAGAGCCGGAGCCTTGTCAGGGGGGATCGACCTCTGAACTTCGATATCGGCTCACTGTTTTTCTTATTAGAGAGCTTAAGCAAGGGACGTTTCTGTTTCACGAACGCCGACCAATTACATTGATAGTTGGGACTGCTTACCAAAAGTTAAGTGCGGTAATACGATTGCATCATGGTATGTCGAAATTGATGAACACGACAAATCAATGTAAACATCGAAAAGCTGGCCGACTATAATTGGCCAATGTCCGAGCAACCGCACACTAGTGCAGACATTTGTCATTCCCAAGCGAAATTGTTATAATCCACGTTCGAAAAGTTTAAAAGAGTTTCATGTATAACGGAGCTTTCATATGGAACTCTTTGCCAGAAATTATTAGAGAAAGCAAAACGCTATCAATTTTCGAAAGGAAAATCGCTACCCATTGTTATTAAAGCATGATTGTAAATAGTAAATTAACGTATATTATAGTTTATTTTCTTTTTCACATATATGCATGTAATTTCTTACTTCACACGTCCATTGTGGAAACCAGCTTTAGCTGACAATGTTAGCGTGGTTAAATAAAGTTTATGATCATCATCATCACACTTAGCGGGGGGCCCTTTGCGCAAAGTTACGCCACTGGTTACTTTTAAGAGACAATTTTTTCAACGTCGGCCGGGTATTTGCAAAGAAAACTGTTCAAAAGCTATGGTATAATTAAATATTTTTGGCGTTCCACTCAAAATTACTTTGTTTTAGCTCTATTTTGTAGTTTACACAGTTAGCTACCAGTATCTCTGTATCTGGCGGTCGAGAAACACAAAGTAATAGTTAAATGTCGTTAATTAAAATACAATTAACATTGATGCTGCAGAATTGACGCCATGCATATTTACAGTAATATAAGCAAAAGTTACTGAACTTCAGACATCATTTTCTCTTTGGCGCGTAAAATCTAAAACTTCTTCATTTTGTCATAATTTTACAGATAAAGCACTAACCATACTTTTTTGTTTGTTTGCCACTTGAGAAACGTATTAAAAATTATAAAATATCAATATAGTCATTACCAAGAGGAAAAGTGTACTCGTTAGTTTGAACCCGCGTTATACGTACGGTAACATGCAAAAGATTCTCCTCTTAAAAAGCTGTACTAACAAACCTCCTCTCTTCTCGGTTCTTTTTTAATCTTTCCACTTCTTTAACACAATTTGATTTTCTTCGAGCTTTATAACAAAGTTGATAAATTTCAAAGTCAGTTTGTCGATACTTTCAGACGAACTACGACAAACTATATAACAAAACGTCGGTTGATAAAGGAGCAACAACCCGAAAAATACAAGGAGAACTTCGACGTTTCGAGCGATGGCTCTTCATTAGGATGTCAGTATAAGGCTACTAACTTCCCAACAAAGGGGCTTCGCTCGAAACATCGAAATTCTCCTTATATATTTTCAGATAGTTGCATCCCAACCAACGAAAGCTTGTTCAATTATTTTATTACGCGTGTATAGACACGTACCAAGGGAAAAATAAAAATAGTTTTAGGAATTTGACAAAGACCTTTTTTTCTTAAACTTCACTTAAGTCTTGACGTTTTCCTTTTTACGATAAGATATACTCATTCGAAACCTATTAATGCCAGGGTTGGTAGGTTTGCTGAATAATTAGGCCAAACACCGTCACACTAGACCTTTTGTTTTCTTTGTTTTCTAAACGGCACTAATGACGATTTGGCCTAATTATTCATCTAACTTACCAACCCTGATTAATGCCGTTTTTGTTCCTCGTTTATAGTGTTTTCCGCTTCCCGTTCGTCAATTATATAGTTTTTTAAGGTGGCTCGATACAGTTTTCAAAAATTCAGGTGTTTAACACTTTGACATGTTCAAACAACGGATTTTTAGGATTTATTCAGCAGATATTGGGTTTTTTATATATTTTGATAACTCTACTTTCAAATTATATTCGTTTTAGTAACAGATAGTTCGTTGCTATGACGACATACGTGTACGAAATTGACTCCAAAATGGCCTATCGTCTCGTATAGTTGGAAAAAAAGCATGGTGACCCCCAATTTCTTTTCGTGCATTATTTTACTTGGACGAAAAGCTAACAATTAGCAAAATATTAAAAAAATCTGTAATGCCATTTTTTTGGAAAATGCGAAAATGTCATATTCTTTGGTAACATTTTTTTGGCATTACAGAATTTTTTAATTTTTTGTATAATGAAGATTTTTAGCGGTGCAATACAGTATGCAAAATTTGAACATAGGTCACCAGACAAAATAAAGAGATATAGCGCATTGTTTTTCTAAAATGGAAAATTATAATGACGTCAGCAATTGACATAAAACGCTATAGAACACGCGCAATGGCGTGGGATGGCGCGAGCAACTGCTCACGTCAGGTTATTTTGGAAGTTCTTTCATTTTGTTAATCAGTTTCCGCGACCTGCGCGTAAAAATGGTCAACCGGTTTTGAGTTCGCGATTCTTGAACAGGGTTTTTGTGATAACTATATCGAGCCACCTTAAACTTTTTTTCTTAAAGTTTTTACAATTAGATACTCAATGAAAACTCTTAATGCTGTCTTTATTGCTCGTTTAGTGTTTTCCGTTTCTCTTTCTTCTCTTCGTTTTTTTTGAACTTTTTTTTCTTTTTATGATAAGATATTCAATGAAAGGCGTTAATGCTGTCCTTGTTGCTCGTTTAGTGTTTTCCGCTTCTTTCTCGTCTAGTGTTTTTAAAACGTTTTTCTTTTTACGATAAGATACTCATTGAAAACTCTTGATGCCACATCTTCGTTGCTCGTTCAGTGATTTCTGCTTCCTTTTAGTCTTATAGTTTTTTTTTAGGTCGCGTTCAGTTACCGTGTCGTATCTCGCCATGGCTTTATCTCTACTTAAGAAAAAGAAAACGCTACGCCCCAACATTCCCCGAGTGCATTACTGTATCATACCATAAACGCATGAGACGAGTTTTTCTATTTCTTTTATAATATAAGTGGAAGATATTACATAGGTCAAAAATATTATTCAAGATCTAATTTTTAAGCGGGCGAAGGAGCAAAAACAATACAAAATTTTGATGTTAAAGTTGACAACAAAACGGTTCAATGTGCTGGAATAGCGATACGCACACTAATTTCCTAAACGTTTTTCCGTCTGCTAAATTTGTCATGAAAGCCGTGAAATCGGAGGTTTTCGTCTGGTTGCTCAGTTTTAATTTTCGAAATTATTGTACTGTACTTTATGTCTTTCGCCGAAACAACATCTAGCAGTTTTTATCAGAAGCATTGAAGGTACTTTTTAAATCACATTTGTTCAGTTTTTGCATCATTTTTTTATGTTTTTTTTTGTGTGTTTTTTTTTAATCTCGGTATCTTTTTCAGGTTTTTCTCGGGTATATTGCTGTTGCCCAAAACTTGCAAGGACAAAAACAAATCCGTCGAATGCCAAGCTGGTTAATTTTAGACGCACAGTATAGAACTGTAGCTAAAATTGCTTTATTCCTTCGGTCTATTCTTTCTTGATTTCTGATAAATTTTGTATCTTAAAAATTTTATGGTGTTGTTTTCGTATTTTTTGCTAAAACAAACAGATATGAAGCGGGAAAAAAAAAACACGGAAAGACCAAAGCAGAAAAAGAGGAAAGAAAGATAAGCTTACACTAACCTACAGACGACGCATTTGGAGCAGCAGGTGGAGGTTGACTATCAGGTCTTGACACGTGGTTATTCTCGGGTGCTGGTGAATTCTCATCCTTCATTTTATGGTTTGATTTATCCGGTGCTTTTACTACTGCAAAAACAGGTAAAACAGTTTGGTAGAAAACAACGGTAATATATTCACTGCAAAACAATATACCTAATCGGCTAATACAATTAGAACAGTGGTGAAGCTGGCCATGGCAACTGGTCATGCTATGAAAATAAACTCGGAGTGCATAACAGCGAGGTACAGTATGCATAAATTGTACAGTGGGCTCATTCCGCATTCACATACGCTGCCTAGCACAGCAAGACAAACTTTTTACTAATTTTACAATACAATAAACTTTACTGACCAAAAGAAGAATTATATACAGTACTACTCATACAAGACATTTCTTTAAATTTTGAATAATTTAGATAATATATACAGTTATGGTAATAAGGCTTATCGAGGCTAGTTACTAGGGTTAATGCTCAGTCACACTACACACAAAAAAAACAGAAAGAACAACATCTGAACTACAAGGCAAACGATGTCCACCTAATTCAACAATTAGTATCATGTTGAAGGGTTTTTGTAAATGAAAATTCCGAGTGTAACGCTTGCAGTATACTGTTTAGATCTAACCAGGAGTAGTTGCAAAAAATGCATCTATAGGCCCTCTGCAAGAACCAAATCTGTGGCCCTGCGATTCCGGTGTAGCGCTCCAACCAGCTAGGCTACAGAGTCCAGTTGTTGAGCTTTAACTACATGATGGTTGTGATGTTACTCTGAGTGTACATCCACACCGGACGAGCTTGAAAAATATGCCTGGCCACGGTGGGAAACGAACCTACGATCTTTGGAATACTAGCCCAATGCTCTGCCAACTGAGCTACGCGGTCAGGGCGGTTCGAGTAAGTGATATTTCGGAACAGAATCTAGTTCCCTCTATACCAACGTAATCTAGTAATATGATTTTTTCTGTGCTGGTGTTGTGTGCTAGGTGAATATAATGTTTGTGATGTTACTCTGAGTGTACATCCACACCGGACGAGCTTGAAAAATATGCCCGGCCACGGTGGCTCGTCCGGTGTGGATGTACACTCAGAGTAACATCACAAACATCATATTCACCTGAGTACACAACACCAGCACAGAAAAAAAATCATTTAACTACATGTTCATGTAATTATATATTAAGGGTGATGCCAGTAGGTGTACAGTGTTTGGGTAAATATTAGGAATTTGGGACATCTCACTCGATTGAACTAATCACTGCATCAGAATCTCAGGGCTGCAGGTTCGATCCCTGCCAGAGGGCCTGGAGTTGTATTTTTTGCAGCTGCTAAGGTTAGGTCTGGTTCGGTCTAAAATGTATAAAATTTAAACTCGAAATTTGCAGAAGAAATGTATGGTTCTAATCAGGGACGCCGGAACGATAAAAAGGCAAGGAGGCAAACGCACACCAAAGGACACCTCTGTAGATTCCGGTGAAGATATAAACCTACAATAATGTGTTGACTTGCCAATGAAAGCAAACGCACTTAATCAGGTCACATTCAAGATCACACCTCATGATTTTGCCCATGCAAAAAGCATCACTGGAAACGTGATTTATCAGGTAGTATTTTAAAACTCAAAGGGCACTTCTGCCCCCTATCCTTCCTAGCAAAAGGCAAGAAGGGCAGCAGTGCCCGTCCTGCACCCCCCTCCCCTCCCAATTCCGGCGTCCCTGTTCCTAATGGTCGTCCGGACAAATTTCCGGAAATCCATACATTTGTTACTATTTTTTTCTGTTTGTGGATGGCTGTATCTTGATCAGTGTTGACCCCAATAACATCAAACTTTAAGATTTTGCCAAAGTCATTGACCTGCTCTTTCTTATTATGTGGGGATTAGCACAATATTTAGGGACTCGTACCCTTCGTACAGTAGATATTTATTCACGTGTATTATAGAAATCCCTTTTTAATAATTTTTCACTGTACTGTAAAGCATACTGTAAGCACGCAATTCAGCCTTTCGGGCTGCTACTGTATGTATGTATGTATGTATGTATGTATGTGTTATTTTATTTATTAATTAATCTATTATCTATCTATCTACTCACCTTTTTTCGAAGGTTTGGGTGATTCTGCCTCATCTGCAGGCTAAAAATCAATATTGCAATGACAATGAAGAATGAACAACATTAATATTTATTTTAACAATACTATATACTGAACATATTTACAGGGTGCGAAAAATTCAACATTTTTAGCCGTATACCTGACTGGTACGCAACTTTTGCCTAGTACCTGAGCTGGTACAATCTTAAGACTCAAGGTGTACTTAGTCATTAAAATGAAGTACATAAAACTACATGTTTCTGAAAGGTATTCATTCAGTAACCTGAAAACACGAGTTAGAACAAGAAGGACGACAACTGCAAACACAAACGTACATGTGCATGGCTACATGGGTACGTTGGTACAGTACCTTGCCACGTAACTTCCAGGCGACCTGGCATATTAAAATGTCGGCGGTGTTAAACATTTTAGGGCGAAAATGAAAAGCTTGTGATTTGTGACCTTCCGAGAACCCAAATACCTGCACATAAATTGGCACGGCAGGGTGCGATAATTTACACTGTACGATTTCCATGTTGCACTGCACTGGTATTCCAATGTCTTGCTATACAAGTAGTCAGGCAGATAGAGGCTCAAAATTATGGAAAACTTACCATATCTTGGGACAATTCCATTTTGCCTTCATTGTGTACCCTGAAGGCTAGTAAGTTCGTTTCTGTATGTTGGCCTTAAAATTTCTTATGGGCTCCTGCCGACACGTTTTTGTTCAAATTTTTTTATTAAACTCTATTACAGTTAAAAAATGTGAAATTTCCGATACATTTCTAATACAAATGACTTGCATCGATAGAAAGCTAACAAAAAAACTACATCAGTACAAGACATTTAAATGGTTAGTTGGGATTTTCAAGCGGTTTTCGAGTTATTGCTATTAAATGTGAAAAATAAGCCAAAATCTCACAAAATTCCTGGGCTACTAGTCTGAAAACACACATTCAACAGCTCATAACCAAAGAAGAACTTGAAAATCTTGGGTAACCGTTTAAATGTCTTATATGTAGCTTTTTGCAACCTTTCAAATTATGTAAGTCATTTGTGTTAGAAATGTATTTTGAAATTTCACATTTTTTAACTGTAATAGAGTTTAATACAAAATTCAAAGAAACACGAGTCGGCAGGAACCCACAAGAAATTTTAACGCCGCCAACAGAAACGTACTTACTAGCTAGCCTTCAGGGCACAATATGAAGGCAAAAATGGAATTGTCCCACGATAGAGTAAGTTTTGTCCTTCTATCTGCCGCACTAAAGTTGTTCCAACATAAATAGAGGATGTTTATAACAAGTTGCTATACGAGCTTGTTCTTCTCAACTTCTCAACAACTTGTTACGTGCAGACGATATCAGACGTGTTGTTCCACAACTTGGTGCGAGTCTACAGCATTGGTCTCACCATAGGAGTTAGAAGTCAGAATACATGTAGTTTGTTCCCGACTTGTTAATAACTGGGAACAAGCAATGCGAACACATTTGTTCACAAGCTGTGAGACTTTTATGCGGGTAGTTAGTTCTGTAACCATATCAAATTACACGTTTCTAGTGCGGGGTATCCAATAGTATGTTATACCCAGGATGCAATTACACACATAAGAATTTGAAATAAAATAAATACCGCTGCAGGATTTGATAGTCTTTTGCCCACCGGCGTCTTTGGTTTCCCTTGTACCAGCCACGGGTTGAGCCCAAATATTTCACGAATTTCAATCTGAAAGAAGCAGGACATTATGACTTAATTATCAGATGACTAAGAAATAAAAGCATTACGATTACTTTTGACGCTTATCTCGATCACAGGTGGCAGATTGGGCCTGCCCCTAACTCTGAGTTAAGCCAGCTAAATGTTATCAAGTTTTTAAAGGAAAAAATCCCAGTCATGCTAATCTTTTTGAAAACAGAAAACTGAACAGAAACAGATTAATTAATAGTCGTTTTGCACAGTAGTTTTGTTACTGAGTAATAGACAACTTGCATGTTAGACTAATTTTTTATTTAGGCAAAAAAAAGTAAATTCCCGTAAAGAACTTATTAAAATCAGTAAAATTGCAAAATTTGGTTATGAAATGTTGTAAAATACAGAAAATATAGCCTTGCGAAGTTTCCATATTTTCAGTATGTTTGTATTACGTGCGGAAATTGTTACCATTTTTGAGCCGAAAATGCTAACAATTTCCGCACGTAATACAAATACACTGAAAATATGCAAACTTCGCAAGACTATATTTTCTGTATTTTACAACATTTCGCAACCAGATTTTGTAGTTTTACTAATTTCATTATGTTCTTTTTAACTGTGGTGTTTGATTCCCTTCTCTTTACTTAGATTACAATTTAGTCTAACATGCAAGTACTTAGATTACAATTTAGTCTAACATGCAAGTAGTCCATTAGTTTTTCTAATCTTATAAAAATAGGTAAAGGAAACATTATTATCGCTACGGGCTGGGTTAATTTGATAGCTAGGGTATCACAAATGTCGCGAGTGACGACAGCTTTTCGCATTGGAATTCTAGTTCATTCCTCTTGATTGTCTATGCCATAACTAGAGTAACTGTCCAAAGGAAACGTTTGTTGATCAGCTGCATGAATTCTAAAACTTGCACGTGAAGGCAACTACAGTAACTGTCCAAAGGAAACGTTTGTCAACTGAGTTGTAAAACCTGTTAATTAAGGCAGTTAAAAGGTTAAATTCTATTCACCTCAGAGTGATAAACATAATAGAGAAAAGTATAATTAAAAACTAGGTTTTACAATGCTCTAATGCTTCAGTCATTTGAAATCACGCCCCCCCCCCAAAAAAAAAAATTAGCGGGGATTTAACGCTATTTAACAACGTGCTATGCCCCGGAGGGCGGTGGAATTAACAACTTTTTTATAATCGGGGAATTGACTCGGGATTTAACAGCCGCTATATATAAATACACCGGGTATTTAACAGCCGCTATATATAAACTGACCCGGGATTTAACAGCCACTATATATAAATGCACCTATATATAAATACATAGGGTCGTAAAAACGAAAATGGCGACTGGCGAAAAACGGTTATCATTCCATGTTTGGATATATTTGGTATTGTTTACACTTTATATTTGCATATTTATTTACATTTTCATATCGATATTTTGATATGCATGACCAGACATTGTCAATACAATACTTGACGGAAATTCAATCTGGAAGTTGCGGAAGACAGGTAATTCAAATGCATGCATGATGCGGAATTTGTCTTGTTTAGGTATACTAAAGCCCGGCCGTACGGGGGTTTTAACAGACCAGTTTGCCCCAGGGGCGGGGGATTTAATGTTTTTTAACACTTGGTTGTGTTAAATTCCCCGCTATGTCCCGGGGGGGGCGCGTGATTTCAAATGACTACCGCATAACTATTGAGATAATTGTATGCAAGTTCTCACTAAATTACTATCAAAACCGCTAAAGTGGTAAATTTGTCTCTTAAGATTTGTATGCATGGGATGATTTTATGTACCACGAAATGAAGTTTTTGGGCACCTTGTGACCACTTTTGAAATTTGAACTTCAACAGCGTGAACTCTTAATTTATTCTCGTCTGCTCGCACTTTTAGAGTCAACAACGTGACTACATTTTGGATGGGCATTCGATCGAAGTACCTTCATGTGTTCACGGTTCAAACACGTTCAAAATTTACAAACCTCCTTTCCTTTTGTTTCGCCATTTTCAAACCACTCAACAGTTGCACTTTTTGAATCCAGGTTAATTCCACTTAACATTGAGGAATGCACTCGACCTAGACGCAGATAACAAACAAGGAGTAATATTTAATTGTTGCAAAATCTTCAGATTTTATTCAATTCAATATTCCAGGATAACATATGAGAGGTGTAATAATTATTATGTAACATGTTTTAATCAGGGTTCGAGATTAGAATATTTTTTCTGGAATCCATTTTGGATACCAGCAAATCTCGTAATCTCAATTCTCAAAATAAGAAAATATGCTTTCAGTCCTTCATATTATTTAGTTACTTAACCATGATCTCAAAGCTAAGCTAGCCGGGCTGTGTACAGTAATATGTCTTTAAATTATAATGTTGTTCTGCAAAACGCCATTTGTCTGAGGACGATCGAAGACACCTTGCCGGCTGATAGTGATATAAAAGATCTTGCAAATATGTCGGAGCCATGTTGTTCATTATTTTAAAGCACATTAAATTGATCTTAAAAATGATTCTTTGCTGTACTGGCAACCAGTGAAGCATCCTGAGAGTTGGAGTTATATGATCGTATTTACGCAGACAAGCTATAACTCGAGCTGCTGTATTTTGAGCATTTTGCAGCTTATTAATTTCATATTTGGGGAGACCATAGTGAAGTGAAGTGAAAGGCTTTATTAGAGAGCTTAAGCAAGCGACGTTTTTGATTCACGGACGTCGAGCGGAAATGAATCTGCCGTTTTTGATGGCGTGAGCAGTCCGTGGTGCGAGGTGACAGACGGCAAGTGAACAAGTTTGACGGCGGTGATTTTGTGTCAAAAACGTAAAGGTAAACATTGTTTTTTATTGCTAATTTTTATCTAAAAATCAAATAAATATTATATTTGTTCTAAAAGCAAAATAATTTGACACAATTTAGCTGAATAATAATGACATCCGAGGGAAAACCCCCAGAAACGGAAGTTGAAGTTCAAGGGCAAATGTAAGTGCAAGGTCAAATTATGCTTTGGCTTGTTTGGCGGAATTTGGCGGTATAAACTGCTTGCGGTTTGTAATCGTTTAGCGCTACTTTACTCTAGTTTTCTGATGTGTAAATAATTCATCGTGATTATATGTCTTATATAAATGTGACCTAAATTTTATATGGAAAGGCAATAAACGTGCTTATTTTCTTTTGGGCAATAAGTCTTTGCGTTTATTGAATTTCGTAAAAACAACAACTGAAATAGGAAGCCGAAAGGTGAGTATAAAGTTGATTAAATTGTGTGTATTTACTTTGCTGTTTTGGTCGTTTTGCTTTAGTAACTCTCCTATGGAATGGACCAAAAGACACGATACGATGCTCTTCAGAGAGGTTTTGGTAGTCAATCCATATCAAGCCAAAAAGAAAACTGTCCAGAGAGGACAACTTTGGCAAACAGTGGCTGCCAACCTGGTGCAACTGGAAGAGCCTGTGTTCAAGCGTTCGTTGTCGAAGCGTTCAGTTCAAGATCGTTGCACTCTCTTGTGTGAAAAGCACAAGAAGAGAATGAAGTATGAGATGAAAGCGTCGGGGATATCGCCACAAGTGACGGAATTGGATAATTTGATAGAGGAGACGTTGGAGAAAGAGGAGGCGAGCGAAGAGTTGAGGGCAACACAAGGTATACATTACATATCCATAAATACCATAGAATATCATTGATTTATTTTAAGAATTTTATAATTATAATGGGGAATTTAACCTAGACATACTGAAAAGTTGAGGGTGGGAGCAAAGGCATAAACCACTGTCATTTTTTTAGGTGAAGCACAGAAAAAGAAAGTTGAGCAAGATCAGAGAAATGCTGTGGATATTCGAAAGAAGGCAATGGAAAGGTTTGGAGAGACAAAGAAAAGAAAAATTGATGAGGGAGAAATTGAAGAGAAGAAGAGAAAGCGAAGAAGGTCAGGATCTGATACGTTGCAGTTTGTAATGGAACAGTCGGAAAATGAAATGAATATGAGGGAGAAGGAACTGGTATTAGAAAAGGAGAAACAAACAAGAGAGGAGCAGAGGCACAACGATTTCAAAGAGATGATGGCACAGCAGATGGCTCAACAGCAACAGCAAATGGCCCAGTTCCAGATGATGTTCATGCAACAAAACAATTTAATGCTGTCAATTCTTGAGAAAAAGTAATAACATTTTAATTTTCACATTTCAGTACTGAATAATATGAACCTCCCTTATATAATTTAAGTTTAACATGTTAAAACATTATTTTAGGCAGCAGTTCCCATGGTCACAACATCAACTTACCTGTTGTTTGGTTATGCCTGTCATAGTTAAATTACAGATTATCAGCTTATATTCAAAAACCTCACATATTTTATCATAATTTAAAGTGAGAATGCACCTTAAAATGTCAAGTTAATGTTGTGACCATGCTGTATTCTATATTTCACATTACATGTTATGTCTACATGATACCACAGAATACTATACAGAAGTCCATCTCCATTGTTTTTTGCATAAGCGCTATTCGTCATAATTCACCACTCAGCAAGTGCTGTAAACAGAAGCAGTCACCCCCTGGAAATAAAATGGCACGCATCCAGGGGGTGGCTGCTTCTGTTTACAGTACTTGCTGAGTGATGAATCATGACAAATAGGGCTTAAAGATAGGGTACAGTCCGGTCTGCACATGCACACATAAGATTCTCCTGCCATGATATAAACATTTTAATTAGGTTTTTATTCAATTAGATGTCTTGCAAAGGCTGATTGTTGTATCTTGATAATTTATTATACTGTAAAGCATGAAAATATAAATAGTTGTCAAATATAGTTCAATTTTTTGAATACAGAAATGTAAACAAAGCTTTGGTAAATGTAAACAGGCTTTGTTTATGTACATACAGTACCTTACCTGGCTACCCTTAATTTAAGGTAAAAACAGTGGAGATGGCCTTCTGTATAGTATTCTGTGGCTTGGGCCTAGTTTAACTATTGTTGATTATTTTAACAATTTCAATCATTATAAAAATAATAAGTTAGAATCAAGCAAAGTATTCTACAATTGATGGGGTGTCTAAGTCAAAAAATTTCGAGGTTTGGTTTCCATAAAAACATGACAGGGCATTTTGAATAACAGCAGAAACCAAATACATCTTCCCAACACAGCTGAGACCAAGCTTTAAATTGCTTTTAAAGTCAAGACACCTGAATGATCTAGTGACCTCACCAAATGCCCATTCCACAGTCACACGAACAGTGCTCATTGACCTGTTGAACTCTTGCATGGCTGGGGTCATCAACACATCCCTGAATGGTGCCTGTAGGTGGACTCGCAGAGGGTAGGCAGGGTCTCCATAAATACACATCGGTTCTCCATCAGGTGAGTAAGCATGCTGTTCCAAGCAGTTCAACAGGTTCGAGTCAGCCAACATTCCAGCATCATGTCTTTTGCCCTCTGTTAATTAAAAATTAAAATAAATGTTACATGTAGGATTCTCTCCTAAATCACAAAAAATTTCAACCCGGGTAACATGGCTGAGTTCAACTCCAGGATTGAAAGTGCCCATGTATAAATTGCCCCTTTAATAGATATATTTTAAACTCAAGCAATACTTGGATGTAAAATAATATGTTATATATGATATACATACCAATTCGACCAAACATATTAGCAATTATTCCATTAGGCAACGTAACCGACTGAAATTTAATAGCATGAGTCCGTTTGTGGCCATTATATACCGTACGCTGGTGCTAAATTTATTGGTCTACATAGAGGTCTAACGGTACCATCGACAAACCCGAAACAATTCGTCAACGCTGCGCCTTTCGTATGGATTTTGTCGGCGTAAATTTGCAGATTCTCCGGGCTTAAAAGTCGTTCATTCCATTCAGTAATTCTGTGTGCGTGATGTTCGTAGATAAAATCTATAACCTCGTTTGTTATCATGCTCAATTCAGCGACTGGCCTACCAAACATCGCAATCATATCGGCGTACCGACAGGGGAAAGCCAGCCGACGTAAAAGTATGCACAACCCTTCGAGTTTTCTTGCCGTTGTTCTTTGGTAGCACTGGAATCGATCGGGTAAACCCAAAGCATCTGCCAACAGGGGAATATCGTCCTTGTCAAATCTGAAGTTTGATCGACATTCCGGTTCAGGTATCGTTGCAAGATCAAACCTTTCGTATTGAAGGTAGTCAAACTCCGGATTTTGCGAAATGTTTTCTTCCAGCAGGGCGAGAAGCTGTTCGGCCGTGATTTGTTTGTTGTAGAAACTAAATAGCAGCAAGTCTCGAGCTTGTTTAAACGAAGTCATTTCGATAATACAACGAAAAGGTTGATAAAAAACAAACACAAGTACATTGCTTGCGTGCGCTTTCGTGATACGTTTTTGATGAGGTTTTTGTTTATTTACGTTATTGCTTAATGTACAAAATTGCAACAAAAACGCCGTACTCGATCCAGTCCTTTCAGGGCTGACGTGACGTCCGTGTTGTCAAAAACGTCGCTTGCTTAAGCTCTCTATTTACTGAGGGTAACACGTGACAGTTAGAAACTGATAAACTTGTGGCCCTCAAAATTTACAAAATTTAAGATATTAGAAAATAGTCCCTATTTAAAGTTAAAATTATTAAAACACGACCCTAACGCTGCAACCTATTTGCACATTTTTGATCAT